AAACAGGAAACAAAGAATAATTGTGCAACAAAAATATAAGAGGATATATTGAGAGGTGAAGAGATAAGTATTCTGGGTAGCAGATATTACTCTGCATATATTTTGTGGTATTTGTACATAAGCGAGTCCCTTTGTCTGCAGTTTAGAAGAGGTAATGATGACCAGAATTCTTACCCCAGCTAGTGAACTCCCATTTCATTTCCACGTAAAAGTCAGGAGTCTGAAGAAGGAAAATACTTTATGAATACTTCATGAAATAGTTTTAATCTAACATTCAGTACAGCATTCTTGTGAACATTTCAGATAAAGGAAAACAAAAAAAGAACAGACCTTGAGACATGGTAAATGAACATTAAAAAAATGAAATTGAAACTAACAAACATAAAAGACATTAGCCTACTACTGCTGCTTTCTGATGAGCTATTCTTCCTTATTTTACCATAGGAGCAGCAACACCTTCAAGATTCAGCCCCTAATGTTGGAGTTCATGAATAAGGATTTCAAAGTAAAGTCAAGGAAAGAATCTCCATCTCCCACGGCTACTTGAATGAGAATTACAGTCTGGAGTAAGAGTTTTAAACTAAATAATTACCTCATTAATCTTCTGGAGTAATTCAGGAACTCCTCCAAGCGTCATAGAGGTCTGCTGGTAGTCCCGATGCTGCAAAATCATTTGTACCATCTCTGGATCTCCTGTACTAACAGCCTCATGTAAAACTGAAAGAAATCCAGACACAAGCTAGTTTCAGTTTGCTCTCTGAGCAAAATACATAATGTAAAAGCTGTCAAAATACAACATCTGCAACTGAGATGTATTAACAAGTGACTTCTGCTTTCCAAGTTATCCTTACCTGTCCATCCCTGTGCATTCTCTTTAGTTACATCTGCCTTGTGTTGAAGGAGGACTTTGGCAGATTCTATATAACCCAAGGAAACAGCAAGGTGCAACAAGGTCCGGCCTCGTGGATCACGTTGATCAACATCCTGTTGAGTATCCGAGAGAGACAAAATGCTGAGGCTGTCCTATCGACTGCAACTAATCAGAGCACACTGAGAAGGGTTTATATAAAAAAAGCTTGGCAGTAGTAATCCAGGAGTCAATATTCCTAGGTATTCCCACGTATCAGTCTGTGGTGCACAGCCAACTTAGTTTTCAAACACTACTGTGCTGCCCTTCCGCACTCCGTACAGTGCAATCTTACTTCCCCACTGAAATAAAAAGAGAAGCAGAACAGGGCCTGTAAAACCGACGTGGTAAGAACTGGTGTCACTGTAAGACACGACTGAGTTATTGTCAATGCTTCTCATTTATTTTTCTGTAATTATTTCCCCTTCTGTCCCCCTTCAGAAGGAGTCTCTTTCGGAGAAGACAGGCGTCCTAGTCTGCGTGCACCGCACCATGGACAGTCAATAGCCTGAGAGACCAATAGTTTAACATTATACAACATAATGGAGGGGTAAGGAGAAAAAAAAAAAAAACAAAACCAAAAGTAACAGGGCATACAACACCAATTTTGCGCAGCACTTTTGAAAGTATAGAAGCAAATGGTATTTTACAAAGCATCCATTTGACTGACACACACAGCACAATGAAGAGTGAGTGCATTTTGTACAAGTCACTAAAAAAAAAAAAAAAGAAAAAAAAAAGACTACACAGGCATAAATATCCAAAACATGCAAGCACAACATACTCATACCTTACATATTTTTCACTATTAGCTTAGAGATTTGAAACAGAAGAGCATCTATAACTAAAGGAAAAGGGGAAAGTCAATAGCAGAATAAGAAAGGAAAGTTATTATGCAAGTTAACGCGGTTATCTGACAGCATTAAGTTGGAAAGATCACACACAGAGTAGGGAAAGCTTTGTTTTAAAGCATTCTCTTTTCACTTCTGTGGTGGAATCCTAATTAATTTACCTCCCCACTTCCTACAGCTGCAACGCCTGCTGCACTGGCAGGTAAAGGACTCGAAGGCGTCCTTCCCAATTCTCTTTGCTGCTGTTAACCGGTAACCACACACTGTACTCATCGTTTGCCATACCAAGTGCAGCTGGCAAGTGTCTTTTGATTCCCTCGCGCATCCCTCCAACAGCAAGAAGCTTATTCCAAGGAAGCAGGAGGAAAAATATCTTTGGAATACTTTAGAAAAAATAAGTTATTTAAAAGCAGATAAAGAAAGTAAGAGACGGATATATTCCATCTTAACACGTTGCTCGTTTCCTTCCAGTATAAAGTGTTTGAGGTAGGAAGCAGCATTTCACAGGTGTGAACTGCAGCCTCAGACTAACAAGAAGCAGAACAATCCTTATCTAATGACAAACTGTCACAGACAAGAACATTATTGAAACAGAAATAAGTACGCAGAAGCAACGTGCCAGTAAGGTTAAAGATTTTGTTAAGGAATAAGATCACATGAATTAGATAAAAAGTAACTGCATTCCAAAGATTCTCCTAAAAACAGGACAGGAGCATGCTCTAAGCAAGCATTAGTAAATCGTGGTATACCGTTAGAATTGCAGATGATAGTCACTAGTCAGGAGGTGGCACAGCTGATCTTTGGCTCAATACTTGTGGTGTCAGGTATAATGTAATTAATATGCTCTGCTTCTGCAAACTATACTCCACACTAGCAAATGTCAGAGCTTTTACATAGCACCTCAGCAAAATGGATGTTTGCTGCTCAAGCTCTGCTGCAGCTTTTCAGACCATTTCCTTACGTCACTACTATTTCTCTCTTAGCTGTCCCAGAGAGGGAACAGCTTTGTATTTTTCTACTCTACAGCATGAAACAATGATCCATTTTTTTTACCAGAGTTGCTGACAATGTTCCAGCCAGTATAAAATTGCTGCTCCCACAGACTTGGACAGCAACAAAGCTGTAAGAACTGCTGGTCCTCAGCAAGCTAGAGGCTGGTTTAATCTTCAGCTGCAGCAGCCACCTTTGCTGCATGTTGGCTTCCCATTACGGTAAGCAATATTTACTGCTTTTCTGGCACAGAAAAAAAAAATTAACATCCATCATATCTGCTCTTCCTGATCTGTTTCAATGACTCCTAACACTTTCTACCGGAGCCATTCCTCAACCTGCACTCGAGTGCTGTGAGCACAGGTTTACAGATAAGTCAACATTTAATGTCTTGTGTAACAAAAAGCGTATTCCTACACCTTCTTACATCACTCCCGCAACCACAAATAATTAGGTAAGGAGAAAGAAGCGCAGCAATCCCACACGCCCAGCAAAGACACCCCGCAGTACCACCGAGGTTACTTCTCCCTAGGAAAGCAGTGAAAGGGACATCGAGCCCTGGACCATGGCACAAGCTCTGCTGGGGCCACCAGCCCCACACCAGCCCCCCTCTCGCCCAGGTGTCCTGGGTACCTTGTCCTGCAGCTCCTCATCCAAGCGCCTGTAGTCATTATTCCAGACCAGGACGTGCAGGGGAAACGCACTGCTGGCCCTGCCAGGGGAACTCATCATGCCACACACCTGCAGGAGCGGGGAACCAGGGCGCCTACCCTCACTGTCCCCCCCTCTCTTTATTCTGGAGACCCCAAATTACTCAAGTCTCGACCCTTTAATCTTCCCCTCTCCCCTGGCACCCACCTGCCCCAGGTGGGGGGGGGAGCACTGGGCCACAACCCCCTACGAGCCCTTCACCCCGCTCCGAGGGGTGCCCCATGCAAAACCCCACTCCTGGGGGCGTCCCTTGTTCTTGGGCAAACCCCCCCCCCCCCTCAGCCCCACGCTGTAGCGGGTCTCCTCTGCTCCTGCCGCCCCCCACAGCCTCACGCTCCCGAGGGGCCCTCGCTCACGAACCCACCCACAGCCTCACACTCCTGGGAGCCTCCTGCTTCCCCCAGCCCCTCCGCTCCTGAAGGTCTGCCCTGCTCCCGGGCCCCCCAGCCCCACACACCCGGGGACCCCCAGCCCGCCCCCCCCGCCTTTTCCCTCCTTCCTGCCGCTCCAGGGCAGCGGCCGGGACAGACCAACAGCACAGCCGATGCAGGGGGGACTACCCCTCCATTCCCCTCAGCCTACCGCCACCGGCGAACCCACGCAAAAAGGAAATTGCTGCACACACACACGCCACCTCCCCCTCCGCGGGCGGGCAGATGGAGCGTCCCGCCCGCAAGCTGCTCCATCGCCCTCTGCGCATGGGGGGGGAGGGGAAGCCGGCAGCGCGGCATTAACTGGACGCGGAGCTCAGCGCGGGCTACTCCCCCCTCCCCCGGAGCGTGTTGGTTTCGCCCGCCCGCTCTACCGAGGTGCGGGCCCGCCATGGTGGGTGAGGGCAAGGCTGAATGGTGGCTGGGCTCTTCCGCCAGCTTTCCGATACGTCGTTTTTCGCAGCTCCTGAGCCGTGAGAGGACAACGAAAGCCCTGCGCTTCCCCGCAAGAAGCGCAACTCTTTACGTGAGGCAGGCACCTGCCAGGGACAAACGTGGCTGGCCAGAGCCTCACCCAGGCTACCGCCCTTTTGCCAGGAGTAAACATGGCGGCCCTCGCGCGCCGCGTCCGCCCCCCCCCCGCCTCCCTTTTGCTTGCGGAAGGCCGCCCGGCGCTGGCGTACGCAGCTTAGCGAATAGCGCCGGCGGCGCAGCGGGCGCCGCCGCCGTGCGCCTGCGCGTTGGTGCCGCCTGGTCGCTGAGGCGGCGGGGCGGGAGGGGGGGGGGGGGGCGGTTCTGGCGGCGGGGCCCCGTTAGCGCGGCAGGAAGTGGCCGGTCCCGCCGCCGTGCACCATGTCGAAGCGCCTGAGGAGTAGCGAAGTCTGCGCCGACTGCAGCGCCCAGGGTAGGCACCGGCGGCTCGGCGAGGGCACCCCGGCGGCGGGGAGAGCCCATCCCCCTCCCCACAGAGCGGGCAGCAGCGCTTTCCCCCCCCCCCCCCTTCATCCCTCAGGCGCTGAGGGGGGCGGGCAGGGCCCGCAATGGCCGGCGACGGGGGTTGGCAGGGTTTGGCGGGGGGGGGGGGTGTCCTGTCAGCAGGCCGGCCCCCGCTGCCCGGCACCCAGCTCGGCGGGAAGGCGGCGGGCCCGCACCTCCCCGGCGCTGCTGCGGGGGTGTCACCGCCTGGGAGCGGCTCCCCCCTCATCGGCGGGGAGAGGTTTGGCCGCGTCTTCGGTGGTTTTGTCCGTATCGGCTTGTTTCTGCAGCACCCGATCTCGTACCGAGTGATGATGGGCTCAGCCCTCTCTTCGGTTTGCCAGAATTTGGGTTTTAAAGCACTCGGGTAGCCCGGCTCTCCCCCGGCCCTCCCGGGGACCGGACCGCCGGGGCATGGCCTGCGGACAGCGACCACCCCCTGGGTGTAAGTAAATCTGGAAGTCCTCGGCCGCGAAAGGAGGAAGGCTTACTTAAATAAATCTTATAGTCAAGGAGCAAAAAGGTGGGAGGAGGGTGTATGTTGGAAACGTGTCAGGGAGTGGGACAGTGGCCGTCTCGGGGGTTTTGTGCAGGTGAGAGCGGGGCTGGCTTCGGAGACATTCCTCCTTCTGAGGGTCAGGGGGGAAGTAAAATTTAAATTTAAGTTCCCAGACTTCGAAAGAAAGGGTGTTTGGAAGTGTCCGATAGACTCGTATTGGAAATGTTCAGTGAGCAACATATTCTGGATGTGCACGTTGTCTGTTTTACACTGCAGATAAGTTTGGGAGCTTATTGAAACAAATCTTGTCTTTAGAAAGTCAGTTGTATATCCTTTTCTGACTGTTTGTAGTTTTGCTGGTTTTGTATTTAAAACTGTCTAGTTTACTTTTTTTTTTTTTTTTAAGCAACTGCATGTATTTGTTGTCTTTCCTTCTCAGTGTTATTTTGTTGTTTCTGTTCTGTGCTGGTTCTAACAATATAATTACTTATGTACATACTGAAATTAATTAAAACAGTGTGATGTAGGTAACATTTGAGTGGCCAGAAGATACGATGTGGGAGAGGGGATAACAGCTTTTGTAAAACGAGACTTACGTTTAAAAAAAATAAAATAATAAAAATCCCAAATTAACTCCCACGGGGTTACTTTTATCTTCACAGAATTTTGTTTTCACAATAAATAGAGCTTGCATATCTTACGTAGGCAGTTGTCCCTATCTCATACAAGGTATCTATGCTTTTAAACATCAGTGGTGTTAGGACGCTAAGATAAAGTTGTGTTACTGTGTTTGTGTTCGTTAAACTTGTCACGACTATGCAGTGTGTCAGGATCACTATTAGGGTAATCTTGTAAGCTGGCTTTTTATTTTGTTGTGTCGTGACTTTATAGCATTGTCAGATATTTATTTGATCTTGGTGAAGAAATCTGCTGGTTTCTCTATATATATAAAAAAATCCTAATTGAATCCTTTCTTAAATTAAAAAAAATACAATAATCAAACCCTTCTTTTACTTCAACCAGAGAGGGTTTTCGGAGTGGTGTTTGGGAGCTGCTACATGTAGAGCTGCGTCAGGAGACCTGGTCAGGCTGCAGATAGGTGCAGCAAGTGGAGAGTGCCTCAGTGCTGCCATAATTAGTACTTGCCCCTTGAACTTAATCGATACACCCTTTGTGTTTTCTTTTTCATGAGGTGATTTTACGTGTACTTTTCTGGTACACTTCCTATTCTCAGGCAGGAGTTCATTTTTCAGACTCACGGTTCAGGCTTGTCTTCATCGCACGCTTCCTGTTTTGAATCACTCTGCCATGTTCCTGAAAACAGATTTAACCTATCTTTCTAGCTTCTCCCCTGTTGTAGTTTGGTATCGGCTTAAACATATTTTGATTGCATCCATAATTGGATCTCTCTTAAAAAGAATTCAGATAAATTCCGGCACAGACACTTCATTGAGTTAAATTGAAACCCAAAATAACAATTTTTGCATAACCTGACAGCGCGCTCTCTGTTTCTTCAGACCGTCTAACACTCTGTTCCTCCTCCCTTTCCCATCCCCATCTGTTACTTGGCAACAAGTAAATGGTACTGAGATAGGTATGACTTGAACTGAGGGGCTACAAATTGTGCATTTTCCTTAAAAAAACCCTCTTTCAGTTAAACCAGTGTGACTCAGAAAGCAGGTTGCAGTGCTGACCTTCCCACTGCTCTTTGCCCAGTCCGCTCTCCACCATGCCTCTGTCAAATCTGCTCTGTTCCGTATCGTTTAGGCTCCTGAGACAGGGCTCAGCTGAGCTGCTGTCAGTCCTCCCTGGCCTCCCGAGCGCTTACTAGGAGCAGAGAGTGTCCCCTTGGCGCCTTGTGCTGGACTTTGCAGTTCCCTTGCTGAATCCATCTGTGGTTTTTCTTTTTGTTTTTCTTTTATTGTCATCTTTTTTTGCATCACACTATCCACATTTTCAGTGGTGCCAGCTTTTGACAGATTCTGCGTAAACATGGACTCTTTCTTCAATGTGGTTTCTTGAATGTCCAAGCTGAGATTACAAGCAAGGCCTCAGCTTTCTTCAGAAGAATTTTAAAGTCCTATTTTTGCTATGAAATGACCAAATAAACAGTAGCTGACTCTATCATGGCTAAATGGCTGTTGTTTGGAGCCAGTTAAATTAGGTGTTAAGGTGGGCGTGAGGGGAAAAAAACTGATAATGACTGCTAGTCAAAACAGTGAGGCTCACAAGCAGCCTGTAACTAGTGATTGGAACAAGAAACGGAATGGCTTTCAGAAGAATCCTGTTAGTTTATGAATGAGCGTGTGATAAAGTTGTCTATAATGAGAAGGGACTAGACTCGTTAATCTGGAAGGCTGCCTCCAGTCTTGGGTTAGGTTAGCACTAATGCATCTCATTGTTATTTTTTCCTTCTTAGAAGTGAAAGTTGTTGAAATAATGGAATGATTTAATAAGGAGGTTGTGTGCTTGTTATTAATTTGTTTTTTAAATTAGGTTAGGGTTTTTTTCTAAAACATATGCTTTAATTTGGCTCTGGGCTGTGATAGTTATCATCTGTGAATAGATGCTCCCATCCCTCATGGCCTGTGGTTCGAACAGGTTTGCCTACATTGCCTTCAGCACACACACAGCATCAGCTCTGCTTAGAAACCACAGCTATGATCAGATCTCATGTTTCAGGGATTCAGTAAATTCATTGCATGGGTCAGAGAAGACTTTTTTGTGATGCACAATTGCATAGATGTATTCTGACAGGATGCAGTTCTCTCATCAGATAACCAGGCTTGTGTTCTACTCACTTATTTAGCTTCAAACTCTGGATTTGAAATTGAGAAGATCTTGAATTCCTTTTTCCTTCTTCTCAGACCTGAAGATCTGTCTTGCTACTCCATTGCCTGTTACTGCAGGGTCCTTGGCACACGGAGTTTCATGTGTCACTGATGGAAAACTGGGGTTTCTTTTGAAGACTGAGCTGAGAGCAGCAGAGGGAACTCGGTTCAATGTCCTATTGTGTTCATATTCCATTTCAATCTGATGGAACATTCCTACTGGGTTTTATACTATTTGATGTTTGAAGCTACGTCATAGGTAGTATCTATTATTTACTACTTCACCTTCCATCAGTTTTCTCTCTGGTTTGCTTATAACATGGATCTATTCGGAGCTGAATTTAATTTGCTTGGCAATTTTTTATTTCACTGAGCCTTTAACTTGACATGTATGTATCTTGCTCTTTTTTTTTTTTTTACTGTGACACTCTTTAGTATTTTTATTATTTAATGTGGAAGTCAAAAAACATTGTAATAATATAGAACTGAAAAAGCATGACTACCACTTCTTATATATAGACTTCTGAGTTTTTCAAAAGAGCAAGTAGGTATTATTGTTACAAATATTTTTGTAGGATTCCACTAAATTACAAGTAAGCACTTCAAGAAGATAATAAATTTAGCGTCCTGTTACGCTTACAAAGGGAAGTATTTTTATAGGAGGAACTGCAAACAGTGGGACTTTTTTCAGAGTTTCCACAGTGGGTCTCCTTGCTGTCCTAGTGCTCCTGCATCCCCAGGAAGTGCAAGGGCTGGTGCTTCCCGGCATCCAGATTCCCAGCAAGGTTGTAACATTCGCAAGCCCATACAACTGCTGAGCAGTAAAGCTGAGGTTAGAAGAAAGGGCTCCTAATTTTGGGCTGTGTGTTTGAAATACAAGGTCACGTTGCCTTCTGTGTGTCATTGCTTTATTCTTTTTTAGATCCGTGTTGGGCATCTATAAACAGGGGGATTCTGATCTGTGATGAGTGCTGTAGTGTTCATCGAAGTTTGGGGCGTCATATCTCTCAAGTGAGACATCTCAAGCATACACCATGGCCTCCAACACTGCTGCAGGTAAAAAGTAAAACTGTGACTTCCTTCATTAAAATGGATATATTATTTTTTAAAAACATTTTTAATGAGATTTAAATCACTAAGCTTTTGTTTGAGAGGGGCTGGTCCTTTTAAGCTTTCTTTTTCTAGGTTAGTCTTTTATTTCTCTTGTCTTGCTGTGATGACTACTAAAACCAGAATTGTCTACACCTTTGTAATTTTATACCTTTGTTTTGGAAGATCATCTTCAACTTTTCTTTGATTTCTGCAATGCATCTGCTTCAACCTAAATTTTCAATATATAGCAAGCCTCTCTCTTCAGTAGAGCCACTGTTGAGAAGAGTAGAGAATTTTAAGGGGGTTCTTACTACATTCCATATCATAACCTCCTAGGCATGTACCTGGTTCTGAGATCCTGGAAGGTTATGGATGCTGGCACACAGAATGTGAATTTCTGTTGGCTTGCTGTCTATTTGAAAATAATGACAGATACTTGTCAGTCTGTGCAGCTAGCAGCAAAATTTCTTCACTGCTTGTTTGTATGCATTTTGGATTTCAGATGGTTGAAACACTGTATAATAATGGTGCTAACTCCATATGGGAGCATTCCTTGCTGGACCCTGCCTCTGTTATGAGTGGAAGGCGCAAAGCTAGCCCACAGGATAAAGTGCAGTAAGTGAAAAATGGCAGAATTTTTATTTTTGTAGAAGTTAGATTATTTTACTCAGCAGTGACAGAGGCAGCAGGATATTCATGGGAACCTGTGTATTTTTGTTGCTGGAATAGAACAGGAGTAAACTAGTTCTTTGTTCACTTTTTTTTTTAAATTTCTAATTACAATTTTTTTAAAAATTATTGCAAAAATGGAAATAACATTGCTTAAATTCTCGAACTATTGATTCCTGACCTCAAGCTTTGAATAGTGAGGACCTTCACTCATACTTGAATCAATAGACTTTTAATTCTCGTGCCATATGCTTCAGTTAACTGAACGCTGCTAATAAGATTGAGTTTGGTTGATGAATTAAAAAAAACATTGAGAGAAGATTTCTGTCACTGAATAATGATGCTTTGCTTTAAAATGTAAATAACTATATATAGTAAGTATATACTTTAAGTTGGTGTAATTTTAAGTTCAATGTTTATTTCTAAGGAATATACACTACATGCTACAGTCTGCAGATATTTTGATGTTTGTAACAAAAGTATGTTCTCTATAGTTAGACAATCTGCACTGAGTTGTTTTTTTAATGAAAATATTTTTACATGTCTAATTTTGCTACTGGTAGCATGCAAAAATTTAATGCAATGTTCATTTGTGGCTTTTTCTAGAGCATCTGTATTATTGTAAAAGCACCAATATTTATTATCTTTCCCTTCTGTTGCTTGGGTTTCTTTTTACAGTCCCAATAAAGCAGAATTCATTAGAGCTAAATATCAAATGTTAGCATTTGTTCATCGCTTGCCGTGCCGTGAAGATGACAGTGTTACTGCCAAAGATCTTAGCAAGGTTAGTATTTTTTTTCTGGAAGTCTGAGGAAGCTGCAACTTATGTATAACAGAACAGTGAAATCTGACTGAATTAAATGAGTTGCTTCTGACTTGAGATGATTATTGCTGTTCTTCAGTGCTATTATGTAAACAAATACAGCTTGTCTTCAACTTAAAGCCACTTTTTGGGTGTAATATATATGGATACTGGAGTTGTGGATGGTTGAGAGGCATCAATTTAGGTTAACCTGGAGAAAAATGTTTACCCAAAACAGCTGTCCCAAGAATTCTTGCATACTCGTTTCTACAAGCATGGCTGGAAGAAAAAAAAAAAAAAAAAAAGAAGACAGAATCAGTTACTGCCACTGTATTAAGTACAATCCTTCTTCTTTTTCAGCAACTCCATTCCAGTGTAAGGACGGGCAACCTGGAGACGTGTTTGCGACTACTCTCCTTAGGAGCTCAAGCCAACTTCTTTCATCCTGTATGAATGCTTTTTTCATTATTTTGAGATACAATCAATTCTTACAGTTTGTAATATTTATACTGATTTCAGCTGATGCGCACTGTATTTCAGTCTTCTACGCAGACCTGTTGATTAAGTAGATATTTTTCTTAATAACTTGTAGGAGAAAGGAAACACCCCGCTCCATGTTGCTGCTAAGGCAGGACAGACTTTACAAGCAGAATTATTAGCGGTTTATGGTGCTGATCCTGGCACGCAAGATTCCAATGGAAAAACTCCAGTTGACTATGCAAGGTAGAAGGCTCTGACAGATGTGATTCTTTTATATATTATACAATGTTCATAAAACACATGGTGAACCTGCTTAGATATGTTTCTGTCCTGAAAATAATTTGACTGTTAAATGCTAATAAGTACTTCTTCCAGAAAGAGCAAATGCTCAAGTGTATAAATAAGCATTTTCATTGTTTCAAGGCCTGTATTCTCCTGGATGCTCGAGACAACAGTTGTGATCCCAATGAAACGGGCTGTGCCAATCTAGCAGCTCACGGAAAAGTAATCTGAGGAGAAGAGTTTCTGAAAGTTCAGCAAACTTGAGTAGACTCCAGGAATTCGGATTAACTAGGGAATTGCTGTAGGAAAGGGCTGGACTGCACAGATGGATCGGGGAGCAGGGGGCAGACCCAGGTTAGGCACGTCCCGGCGCAGAACTGCGCGCGCAGGAAAGCCTGCCTTCAGAAGGGCTCTAGGCTTCCCCAGGGCAGGCAACGTTCACGTCAAGAAAAATTAAACGTGAACATCTCTGCTGGTCGGTTGGGCAGTAATGAGGCACTGCAAGATCTGCAGCACAGCATTGAAGATTTTTTTGTGTTTTATATGCAAAATTGGACATTACTGATCAACTAGAAGCCACACATTTGTGTAAATAAAAGAGCCTCATTGCTCTGATTGCTTTTAAATTGAGGCCATACATGGAATCTGAAGACTGAATAAATTCGCTTGGTTGCAGAACACAATATGCCAGAATATTTCTATTTCTCAGTGCTCTTAATCAAATGTGAGGTTGGGTGAGTTTGCTGCATGAGCTCAGGAACTCTCTAGAAAGTTGTAAATAACATACTCAAAGTGGCCTGTATAATCTGATTTTTTTTACTACAGCAAAGCACTAGGCAAAGCTTTTCACTGACTCTTTTTGAGCAGTTCTTGAAAGTTTATCTGTAGTTTTCTGCCCACTGGAACATAACGTTGAAAATCCTGCTGTGAGTCTGTGCTGTGTGGATACACTCAAACATGTGCAGTGTTGAACAGTGGCTTGTACTAAATCTACTGCTCTGACCAGTTTTTGTATGTCTCAAAATAAGTAACTAATGTATCTTTTCTGTGTGTGTGTGTGTGTAAACCAGACAAGGTGGGCATCATGAACTGGCAGAGCGCCTGGTGGAAATTCAGTATGAACTCACAGACAGGTTAGCTTTCTATCTCTGTGGCAGGAAACCAGGTAAGTAGAAAAAACTACACTCAGAGATGTTTCAGTGTTAATTATGGGACATTTCATACTATGGTATATAATGTTTGTGTTGGCGTTACTACACTTTTTATATGCATTTCAAATATGCTAACATAAATTATACAAGAACAACTAAAGAAAATATAACATGTAACATTGTGATAATGCATTTAAAATTCAGATAAAACTGCAGGCTTTTAAATATACCTAAATTTAAAATTAAGTTCCTTTCTGTTTTTCCACAAGTATATGTTCTGGCAAATGGAATATGCCAGCAGGCGTGGAGAAACCTAAATATAAGATTAGATAAGCACTGTTTAACTTCGAGGAGTGAATTGCAGGGAAAATGTACATTTTGTGAATGTTGAATAATCTGCCAGAGATACTGCAGAAACTCCTTTAAGTAGTTTCTTCTCATTGAAATGCAAAAGCGGGGGGGTGGGTGGGTGTGTGTGTTCAATTAAGTGGGTACCTTTTGGACACAAGCACACTTAAAAATGTTTAGCCATTAGGTGCTAAAAGCACCTGTGTTAGAACTTAATTTTTTAAATGGAATTTTAATACTGTTGATAAGCTTTAATTGGAATCTTTGATACCACCAGGAAATTGTGGTAGGAACCTTCTTTTAAGACTTGCTAGCTTCTTGTAATTGGAAACTGAGTAATTACATCCCTGCTGCATATATTCTTGGGTTTCTCATTACTGTGTCCTTTAGTAAAACTGAATACCAGCTGTATATCCTGACAACATTGAAAACTTTAGTCCAGTAACAACCTACTAAAATGCAATTTGTTTTCAACTCTAGAGCATAAAAATGGACAGCACTTTGTTATACCTCAGATGGCAGACAGGTAAGTTACTGATTCCATGGCATATCTGAAAACAGCAAAATAAAAAAAAAAATCCTAATTAAGTTTCCTTTTCTTTCTGAAACAACTTTTAAGCTTGTTGTCATTCTAACTTTTTAATGTGTGCCTTTATCAATCTTGGAAGCTTTTTTTTTTTCCCAGACAGAACTTTGTCATTTAAACAAAATCAGAAAGTTGTAGAAGTTTATTATATTTGTTAAAATACAGGGGGAAGGTGAGACAATTATATTGAGGGAACACACATGGGAATTTCTGGGAAACAGATTTTGTAAATAATACAAGGACTGATTAAGTTAGTTTCCTGATACTGCATTTTGAAACTAATGCTTGCAAGGAAGGTGCCTTTTTCTCTGAAAATATTTATACTTTTGATCATCTGAGTGCTTTTAACTTTTGTTTATGATGAGTTAAATCACACTTGTATAAAACATCAAGTATTAATTGTAAGTCCCTATTTCTTTTATTGCTATGCAATTGGAAATAAGACGGCTGTAAGTAAACTATTGTCAACGTATTGCTCGCAAAATTTCTATGAAAAGCTGTAATAAAATAAAAATTATAGAAACTGTGTAGTAGTTAGTAACATACTTAGTGTTAACATCTGTAATTTTTTTAGATCTGCTGTGTTTAGCTTTTGGATAAAGTACTATGTATTTTCAGTGCAAAGTATTTTGCAGAGCAGAGCAAGTATCGTTTGCCTCATTACACAGAGAAGGAAGCTGACATGCAGAGGAAATGATTTGTTCAAAGATGTTGCTCAGATTGCAGAGCCTGCAGTATGACCTGACTCTCTTTTACCTCTGCCTGATGTCCTCTGCTTGTTTGGTTTTGGTTTTGTCTTTTTTTTTTTTCCTTTGTCTAGTTGACGGCCTACACAAACCCTCTGTGATGTCAGTTAATCATACAGAGGTTTTGTTTGAGCCTTCCCATCCTAGTAGGTCAGGGGAGTCTTCCCCTGCATGATACAAATATAGACTCAAAAGTTGTCAGCTTCCTGGTCTGTGGTTCTCATGATAAATTCTGTTGAACTGCACAATTTTCATCTTGTGCCTCGTGTTCAAGGCTGGAAACCAGTAGAAGAGATTATTTACTAATCAGTACAGAATCATTTTAAGCATGGCCCTGTTGCTGTAGCCATTTGCCAGCCTGATGGTCATCTACCTCCTGCAGAGTCCAGTGGAACAAATCCCGTGTGTTTTCTGTGGGCTCGAGTTTTGGTCAGAATGATCATACTGTTCCAATTCCTTACAGAAAGCATTTTGTTGCACTACAGCTTGATTGCTTCTTGAGCTATGCAAATGTGGGTATTTATGTTCCAAAGGATTTGGGGGATTCTTTTGTTTTAAATTTAAGATTGTTGTTTAGAAAAGTTTAGTAATACACTAGCTGGTAGCAATATTAGTAAGATCAATGCATTAAAAACTAGATTAAAATTATTAAAAGATTAAGGAGTTTCAAATAAGTGACATTTTAATCATTGAATTATCGAAACATAGAATTTGTGTTTAAACAAGCTATTAAGTGCTGTAGATGTAATGATCACTTTCTGTTCTCATAGCAGTCTAGATTTATCCGAACTTGCAAAAGCAGCTAAGAAGAAGCTTCAGTCTGTAAGTAAAACTGCCAGTGTGATGTGTGACACATCTTTGTCTGGATGTGGCAAACTCTGCACTTCATCTTTCAAGCTGGTTTCAGCTGCTAGTAATTACTGCATAAACAAATGTCAACTCTGTGGCAAGTTAAAATTTTGGAGAAAAACATGAAAATAGGCAGAAATGGAGGAGCAGATATGATGACAAATCCATGAGGGAGAACAAATACTTGTTCATCTTGTCTGGGGTAGTACCTCTAGGTTTGTCTCCCCCGTTCAAAACCTCAAACTTTATTGTTTGTCTTGCTTTCATCTATTTTATATAAATCTGTATGTTAAATGTCACTATTTGGCTTTAACTTCCAGGAAAGCCAGAATAGTGCATTACTGTCTGCTAATTAGTTGATACTAGCCCACTTCTGAAGGAAGATCAGCCATCTGTTCAGGCTTGCTTACACTCACTTAGTTATCAAGTTAGTTATCAAGTCTGGTACCCATTACTAACGTTAATTCACTGTACGTCAGTAAGTGAAACATCCACAAAGCCCTGTGGCATCTTAATTTCACGTCTGGTCTTCCAGCAGCTCAGTTCTTCATAGCACAAGTATCTCTCTTGGACTATCCACTGTAGGAACAGTTTGTAACGCACAAGCGTTTTGTGGGCCTTCACTGCTCAGTTAAGCCCACATCTACAGCAGCATTTGGATACCTGATTCTCCCAGTAGGTCTGCTTCACCCCAAATACACAAGGTCTTCATGTGGTCAGATAGGAGAGAAAAAACAAATCCATTAACCAGTAAAGTGTAGAACAGTATTGTTGTCTCTGTATCTAGCAATCAGGTGGGTGTATGTATCTGCTTAATGGATTGCTTTACAATGCACGCTGAGAAACGAGCAGTTATAGAGGCTGAAAAGCAGCCAAGCGAGAGCAGAGTTGTGCTGTTATATTTTTATGCTATGGAGGTCTTGCTGGATTTTGTTCATTTTCAAGCTGTAATTATTCTCTTCTACCCTTAGCTAAGCAACCACTTATTTGAAGAACTTGCCATGGATGTGTATGATGAAGTTGACAGGAGGGAAACAGATGCAGGTAAATGAGGCTTTCTGGAATGTGTGTAAAATAAATTTGAATTGTTACATTACATACAAAATGCTAGTGCACGTATATGATCTGTTTGAAATATTTTTGTATTCAGTAATTACTGATAATGGTAGTTTCTTTGTCTTGCATTGTCTGAAGGTGATGTTAATTGAAAAAATCTTGTGGTTTTTATGGAGTAGAGAACCCTCGGGGAAAAAGAGCCTTCCTTTGAATTGATTGTGTTTGTGTCTGAAATTGTGGTCTTTTATTCTTTGACAAGAAACACTGTCAAAATGTACTGGAAGGTTATTTCCTCTTTTTTTTTTTTTTTTTTTTCTTCCCTGAGCAGTTTGGCTTGCTACTCAGAATCATAGTACTCTTGTGACAGAGACCACAGTGGTCCCTTTTCTTCCCGTAAATCCTGAATATTCCTCAACAAGGAATCAGGTATGCAGTCTTCTTAATACTGTAAAACTATTTTGATTTAACAGGCCAGGTTCTAAGTAATTGATTTACTACATTACTGTAGAAGAGTTGCATCTCCTTGTAAGGAGATTAAAATACTTTCACGTTTTCCCTGCTCTGGAGTGTGCAGCTGGATAATTTAAATCACACTCTGCAGTAAATGTAATTGAACAATCAACTCTCTGTGAGTGCTATAGTCTTAGTTTTACCTAGGGACTCTGCTGTTTATCTAATACATGATCTACTTCTTTTTTTCTGCATTATTCTTTAATTTAGGGAAGACAGAAACTGGCTCGATTTAATGCCCATGAATTTGCTACGCTAGTTATAGATATTTTAAGTGATGCCAAACGAAGACAACAGGGGAATCCTCTCACTGGTTCAAAAGGTGAGTGTACTTTTGGTTGTCAGCTCTTTATGCAATTCTTCAGTAGTTTGAGCGATACTGTAGCCTCATTCAGAAGTATTATATGAATGAAGAAAGAGATTTATATTGTATTTATGAATTACAAGAACTGAATCATGTGGATAACAGGCTATTGGCAACGTGAATTAGGCCACCAAAATAATGCCCAAGTACAGGAAATTTCTCTTTTAAGGTTGGTATTTGTAATACAATTAAATCAAGTGGGTTATGTGCAATTCAGGAACATCTTTCTATGGCGGTTGTGATTTTTATAACTTGGTAAAATTTTTCAGAATACTGCTGTACAGTTTTAGAGTGACACTTCTTATTGGCAGCTAGGATAATGTCAGTGTTTTAGATGCTGGCTTTCTTGGCTGCAGGACTTTGCTGTAATTTAGTTGCTCTTGAGCTTATTGCTAATTTACTTAAAAATGTTTACTTTCTGTACTTCTTGAGCATGATACATATCAAAGAATATAAATACCTATGTCAACAACCAGACAGCCATAGTTCTAGCGATGATGTCATGCAACAACATCTGAACACTAGTTTTCCATCTGAAAATACAAAAAATCTTTTCTAACTTTTAATTTTTGCCTGTATTTTTCTTTTGAATGTTGAACATCCATTTGTCCAGTGTAGTCCATTTTGTGTTTTTTTTTTTTTTTTCCCTTTATGTGACTTTTAAGCTGCTAAAGCGTGATTCTCACCACTTTAACTTATCTGAACACTTACAGGAAATGAAAAGACAAAGCCATAAAACTTAGATGTTTTAAACAGTAATAATCCATACCTATTAGGTGAATCCAAGTTAATTTTTTTGAACTGGGCTACTCAAATGATCCTTTATTATGGCATGTCTTTGATTTGTCTCATTTAAGATCTTTTCTGATTTTATTTTTTTGAAATTACTTTAAAGTATGCAATTCCGTTTCTTCTCCAAACTTACCAGCACATTTTTAAATGGTGTATGTTGATCTACAGAAAATGTGGAACTGATACTCAAATCAATCAGCAATCAGCATAGTAGTGAAAGTCAGGATAATGACCAGCCTGATTATGACAGCGTTGCTTCAGATGAAGATACAGATCTGGAAACAAATGCAGCTAAATCAAGCAGACAGAAGGTAGGTTTGAAATATTTATACACACACCAAATTTTATTCATAAAGGTAATCTGCACTGAATCTTTCCCCTTGTGAGGGGATTTAACAAGCATAGCTTTTCAAATTTTTCAAATAATTTTTCAAATTTAAAAAAAAATAATTTTCACGTTAATTTCAGAATCATGCCTCAGTTTATGAGCTTCAACAAAACTAAGTCTTGTGACTTCAGGAATTTATACTGTAAATAAAGTACTCCTCTGGAAAAGTAATGTGTGCCACTGCGCATGCCTGGAGTTAAGGTATAGATCTAATTGCACCAATGAAGTAATTGGATCTACCAAAACACTCTTAATCAGTGATTCCATGGTATTTCACAAACATGTACTGCCTTCTGCTGAAGAAATAGTTAGACCAATAGTGACTGAGTGTTTTAAACCATTCCTGAAAATAATGTAGCATGGTAAAAAAGGGGCAGTAAACCTGGTAGTTCTAGTTTAATTTGCCCTGGTAATGTGCACACTGGTTATTTAACATCCTGTCTTTTATGACCTTCCAGTTCTTTATTTCATACTTAAAAAAAAAAAAAATCCTTACAAGAGTGTATCATATCACTGAAATGCTGAGCCAGATGTTTTTGTGCATAGAGAAGCTAAGAGTTGACTGACATAAAATTTTTTTTATATTGGACTGAAATTATTTTAATGAATGGATCTTATTAATTTGAACTTAATTCGAACTGTAATTCCTTTAAAGTAAGTACATGAAAAGCTGTTGGAATCTTATTGTCTTGTTTTCTTTTGGTAACCTGTCTCTCAGTGATGTAAGTATTGTTCTCTTACTGTTTGTAGAGCCTGGATTCAGACTTGTCAGATGGACCGGTGACGGCCCAAGAATATATGCAAGTTAAAAATGCGTTGGTGGCTTCTGAGGTAAAGATTCAGCAGTTAATGAAAGTGAACATCAACTTGAGTGATGAGCTGAGAATCATGCAGAAAAAGGTAACAGGCAAAATTGTGTAACCCCTTAATTTCTTGACGTATTTTAAGTTGACCATAATAAAACTGCTGAAACTGAAGATGCAGTAACCCAATACCAGGACAGTGAGAAAACTTATTTTAAAATGGAGCTGCTTTGGAATCAGATGAGACTATAAACATGTATGTGCAGCAGACACTTTGAGTAGTTTTTCTTGGAGATGATGATGATTTGCTTAGTTCACTTTGACATCAGTTTTCCAAGTGACAAGACAGTTGTTGCAAGTCTTTTATGGTTTTGCTGTCTTGCTTCAAGATAACCAGTTTTCAACAATGAGAAAGTAAGTGCTAGCACACATCTTACATATGTGCGCATACCTATATACTGTACTTCCATCTTTTCCAGTAAATACGTTGGGTTTTTTCCATTAATAAGCCTAGCTGGAATGAAGGCAAACAAAAATTCCAATCCGGTTTGGCAGGAGAAAGTAATCTGAAATGTGGCAATACAATACAAAGTTTTTTGTATACCAGGAGTCCAAGATTTATTTGTTTGCTTGTGTTTGAATCCATTGGAAATAGCATGTAAAGGATATAGTGGTAAACTCAATTACTGCTTTAAACCTTCAGTGTGGGTTTTGTCTAGACGAGGAAATGGTAGAGGTATCTCATTTACAATATGTGTTACTATGTATGGATAGTCTTATACAAACAGAAAACTGACCATTTTTGCTAAAATCCTGAATTTAAACCTCTGAAAACCCAGTTTGGAAGCCAGACCTTCTAATCCTTATATAAACAAACCAACAATTCGTTGAATGCTTTGCCAGTGTTCTGGTAAATAGAGATTTTTGTGGGGTAAAGGAGACTTCATGTCTGTATTGAGTTCACTATCCTGTCTGTCATCTAGCCTAGAAAGAGCTGGGTGCTTCCCCAAATTAATTCCTTTACCTAGCATTAAAAATCCTGTTTTCCAAATAATTACAGTACTGCAAGACTTACAGTATGTGCTGTAGAAAGCTCTCTCCCTGTAGAGAAGGTTGTTCAAGCTGTGCTCCTGCAGAGGTGAACCTGTGCTGAGAGCCTGTCTCCTCTTTGTTTTGGGGTAGAGAGGCTGATGGTTTGTTGAGCAGAGGGAATTGTTGAGTTCTTAGCATCTGAGGCCGGGCGAATTGAGCAGATTCGAATCTCTGTTAAGTGCCATCCTTCTCTTACAGTTGTGTTCAGCCTTTTAGATCTATTGGCATGATGAATGCTGAGAGGAACCGAAGAGAGCTCAGGGTGTTTCCTTGGTCTTGTAAACCTTGCTGGTTAAGCATTTCGCTGCATCAACTGAATTAACTTTTCACTTCTATTGAGTTTCTTTAAAAAGATATATTCTATTTAGGGTTAAATAAAAATCTTTAGGGCCTATGAATTAATGAGACTTCAGTATATTTATGTGATGCAGCAGAAGAGAGATCATTGCTGTGCTGCAGTTGAACTTGTTTTGAAAGATGACATAGCCAGGGCTTGCTCACCTTGGAGACAAGTTGCACTAATTTTGTGTCCTGATGATGTATGTAGTGATGGGGCTTCTTTAACTCAGTGTTTAGCGGCTCTGGATTGGTGAAGGACCCAGCCGTGTGCCACTGCAGAATGCAGGATGGGAGGCAGCAGGGCACAGAGCTGTCTTAGCACTGAGCTGCTGGGAACTTCAGTATAATATGGGAATTCTCTGCTGGGTTATTTGTGGCAAGACACCAATCTATTTGTACTACTTCATCGAATCTGTTGTATTAGAAGTCATTCAAGAATGCCTTATTTTTCTTTCTTTTTTTTTTTTCTTTCTTTTTTTTTTTTCTTTTTTTTTTCTTTTTTTATTGTTTTCTAAGCAAGGGCTTTGAAGTTTATAAACTAAAAAAGTCTATCCATTTTATATCTCACCTTCTTAGCCAACTGTGTATCTAATCTTTTGCATGCCAATTACGAAGCAAACGATGTTAATTAAAAAAGAGGCACTTGATAACTGCCACTTTAGATTAGATTCTTCCTAAATAAAAATGAAAATAGTTCCATTACTTTAATGGGCATTCTAATGGTTATTTTTATGCCTACAGATTTTTTAGGTGCTTATAGGTGGTTAAGATTTATGTCTGAGTTTACATTAGCTGTTGGCTAAAACTGCACGAAAAGCAAGTTTATAAAATGAAGAAGTTTGGAAGAAGGAGACTATGAAGTTGACCTATTTAACTCCCTCTAATGTCAAACTTTTGAAGGGTGGCTTGGCTCCAGGCTTATCCTCAAATCTTAAGACTTGATACATCTTACTACAGAGCACACAAAGTGGGGAAAAAAAGCATAAATTATCTTGATAGAAGTCTTCACATTCTATTCTGGGAAGTGCTCTAGGCAAAATAAGTTTTTTTTGGTAGAGATAATGTTCTTGAAGGTTCATGTGATGCAAAGTAAATCAAGTACTAAGCATGCCATTTCCAGTTTAAAAGGCCATCAGCTGTTTGAAATATTATACTCAATTATTGTTAGAGAATTGCTGATACCGACTTTTTTTACATCTTTTCTTTAGGATGTGTTAATATAGCAAACTTACTTTGAGTAACTCCACAAAAAAAATGAGAAATGTTGCATTTTTACTATCCATCAAATACATACTAAAAAGCTCTAAAATTATTTCTTGTTGGCTTCTTAGAAAGCAGTAGCAGATAATTTTCGTAAGCTAAACTCTCCTTTTGCTTTGCAGAGCAAGCTCTAGTTTTCTTTGCGCTGCCTCTGGTGTCTGTGCTGTAGTTCTGGCATTTTCAGATTTCATGGGCCTTATGTTAGAGTCCTCTCTTAAGTTCTTGTACTGACTGCTGAAATGGATCACTATACTTGAAAAACTGTTTTGTTGGCAGTCCTTCCCCCCACAACCTCCTTATATTACACGATTCATGTGCCAGTACAGCCAGGCTGGAAGAAATGGATTGTGTGTTTTTAACTACAACAGACAATTTCGAGATCTAATTTAGCTTGCATCCCAGCAAAAAGTGCTGGAAATCAGCACATAAATATTTCCAGATCTGGAACATAGATGTTTCTATGCTTATACTAAGCAGGTCAAGTAGATTTGGAAAAATAAATCAAACCCCAGCTACTAGTAACTGGATTTACTAGTAAAGCTGACAAGCGTGTATTGTATAGTCAGTTTGCTTTTGACGCTTGCTGTTAGAAAAACAAAGTCCCACTGCTAAACATTTCTTTCAGCTTCAAACGCTACAGAGTGAAAATACCAACCTCAGAAGACAGGCCACAACCAATATATATCAGGTCCAAACTGGTTCTGAATACACAGACCCTACCAACAATTCTTCTTTAAAGCGGCGACCATCTGCACGGGGTAGCAGACCCATGTCCATGTATGAGACTGGATCAGGTCAGAAACCCTACCTCCCCATGGGAGAGGTCACATACCCAGAAGAAAGCATAACAAGACTGCAGCCTTTCCCTCCACATGTAAGTAAAACTGCTGATGCTTCTGCATTTCTTCTTGTGTTCAGCTTTTCTGTCTGTTCCAGCTATGCTCATTTACCAAAGCTGCTCAACTGTCTGCTTCAGAGTGAATTTGAACTGTAAGAGTTGTTAATGTTTGCTGTATTAACATGTCTGCAGGAGCTTGATGTTTTGAGAAGTAAAAGCTATAACAGTTCTGGAATATGTAAACCGGAGCTTTTGGCTTCTGCTCAGCTGTTTCTTTTAACCACAATGTATATGCCAAATATCAATGTGTGGCTGTTTGAAAACCAGGAGGATGGGTGGGTGGGAATAGTGTTCCAAGAAGGTAGGTAAGGTTCACGGATTCTTTCTTGAGATATACGGACATGTGCCAGTTTGTGGAACTTCAGAACCACCTTTCAAAAATAAAATTGAAGCTAAATTTTCACTAGGCCACCAATTTCTCATTCAGATTGTGGAACTGGAGGCTGAAGATGGTTTAGATCTGTTAGTTGAACAGATTCTTCTGGTTTAGTATTTTCATGTTATGATACACTAATAGTGGAGAGGGAGTTAGTTCTGTATGAGCCACAAGGATTTTGCACTGATGTGTTCATACTATAGATGAGTGATCCAACACACACTAGTGCTTATTAATTTTTTGTTGCATCTTTTTAGACTGCCCTGTAGGCAGGAATAATGGACAGTATTTTCTAGGCACATATTTAACATTTGTGGATTTGTTTCAGTATATTTTCCTGTTGGTAGCACTATCTTGTATTTCCTTCCAGATAAATAATTAAGCCCTTTAAAACATATTTGGATGTTAACAGGTTTTTTGACCAGCATGAAGGAGGGCAAATGTTCCATGCACATTCCAAAGATGACAGTTGAATGCATCAGGGAATCAGTGCAGAAATTTGTATGCCGGGGTTTTTTCTGCCTTCAATTAAATCAATAAGAACTTTAAACTATGAAATATAGATAATTTTAAATTATATTGTCATGCTGATATAAAGGCAGTTCTGACAGCAAGAAATATCAGAATTCTTTTGTATGTGACAACATTTGCAAAACATGACAGTGCTTTTTATAGGTCCTTTGGTCATTTGGTTTGAAATTTAGATAGAAATAGCAGTTCTGAAGCATTGATTTGTTATATGGAGTTAGTTAATTTGGTATTGTGGTGAATGTATTTTATTCTCTGTGGCATTTAGCACCTCTGGAAAATCAATATTAGAATTAACATGAATTCGGTTGTATTTTGAAAGAATTAAGTCCACTCAGGCTTAGCCACGTTCTCAAAATCATTCTTGCTTTATGACATCTCCATGTTTTTAAGAATGTTCCTTTATTTCAGTTAAGAATTTATTTGTGTTTTGTTTTTGGTTTTCCCGAGTGTTTTTCTCTTTCCCATTTTTAGATCGGGAGGAGTGCGTTTGTGACCTCCTCTTCATCTCTACCTTCCTTCCCCTCCACGCTTTCCTGGTCAAGGGATGAAAGCACACGAAGGGTTAAGTACCTTCCCAATTGGTCTTTTACCTGGAGGAGGTGGCAATCTCCCTAGAAGCCATTATGCCTCTACCTTCTCCCCTTTTATGCTGACTAGCCTTCATGTTTGCATGAAGCAGTATTTCATCACTTTCCGTTTCTTCTGCCACGTGCTGCGGATACGTGCCTCTCTCTAACTTCACAACAGCTAAAACCTTTAGCATTTAACACCAGTTACTCCAGATCCCTTGTTGAACTGCATAACACTGAGAACAGTTAGGAGACAAGTTGGTTGCTGTTTGGAAAGTAATTTGGCAGGCACTCACTGATATTTCATATGCCAGTACATAACTCTTCCTACTGACTAAAACGCACTGCATGAGATGTACGAAGCTCTGGGTCCTTGCTTTAAAGCCTGCTTTCTTTGGGGGCTGTCAGTTTGCACCTCTCCAAAGTGGTACTGATTGACCGTTTATCTTACAGATGTTTATTAGTTTGTTTGAAATTAGTTCTTTAGTCATCCAAACAGCCATTCATATTGCCCACTGATACATGATCAGCTAGCCTGCTTCCTGCTGGCCTTGCCTGACAGAAGAATGAAAGGGTGCAGGAATTGCTTTTAGCAAGATTCCTTTCAGGGCAAGATGAAAGACACTGAGAGTGTATAAAGGAAGCTTATATTGGTGTACCATCAAGACCTACAAAACCTTGTTCTTAGCGGTTTTGTTAGCTGCAGTACAGACTCTAGGAAAGAATTGCAGCGTTACCAAGAAACATTAAATGCATTCTGTAAGTTTCTATTATTCCAAAGACACGGTCTTTGGTGTGGCCTCATATGTGAGCTATTAGCTATTAGAAGAAGCCTTGTTCAGCTGCTTAAACATTTTTGAACACTGTTCTCTTTTTGTAGTGAGACACTTTAGTCTGGTCTTACTCAAACTCATCTGCTAGAAATGAGCGTAAAATGCCACCATGAAAAAGGACACATGTAGCAAGGCAAACAGCTTGATAGATTAGTCTGTCCGTGACAGCCTCTTTTTAGACTATGTTTTATTTGGGATCCTTGAACTAATTGCAAGTTACATATTCAAGAGAAGAGAGAAGCACATTGCATTTGCAGCTCTAGAATAACATTAATTTTTGGCTGTGAAGGGGCTGCGACTGAAGTAGTGGACCCTGAGCAGGTACAGCTTAACGTGTCACACGCTGATGAATGCTGGAGGTGAACAGCCCATAGCTTTCACGCTGCAGTTTGACCAGCTTGAGCTACCAGCTTGCACTGCTTGCAGAAAGTATTCTCCGTCGTCAGAATGGGTCGACTATGTTTCGAGGTCTTGTTCTGACTAAACCTCTTTAACTTTGATGCAAATACCGATACCAGGTCCTTTGGGCTGTTTTTAGATGTTTATGTCTCGTTTCTTAGCAAATAATGAGTAGCTTATCCCATTTTGTTGTATGCCATGCTCAAGATTTAGGCTTTGTCTACTTCTATATTAAAATAAGACTCTCTGAGAGTAAACTCAAGATAGTCGTATTTATATTTCAAGACTTAACTGATTTTGAAAATGTTTTTCAAGAAAAGTTCTCTCTTTTTGATCTGCTTTGTCTGTGTGGTTAATATAATGAAATGAGTATGGTCTCGTTCCGTTTCTTGGACAAGAATTTCAGAGTCTGTAATCAAATTTTACTATATAATACTAAATTTTTTAAAAAAACAAGTTTATGGTTTAAATATTGAATGGTCATACTCTGGCCTCTTGCTGCTAGGATAACCTGCTTTTTAAATCCTTGTGTCCCCATTTGACTGTACATTGTTTGGACATCTCGGTCGAGTAAATACTAGATTTGCAAGTAGGGCTGGATGATAAAACTTGGGAGGGAATATCCTGCTTGGTGGAATGCAAATCTGGGTTGGCTGCAGCTGATAGCAGTATCGTGCAGTGCTAGAAACTTGCAGAAGTCTGGTTTGTTTGATATTACTCTACACGGATTCCATTACTATATTATCAAATCCATAATATCCTATTCTTCTAACTTATTGTTGTCATTTGTATTTCTGACCACAGTATAGTGCTTTGCCACTAATTGTACTGTTCTCTATACGTTTGGAAGAAGGAAAGGGTCAAACCCTACACATAATAGTTTCATATCTTCAAAATGTGTGTCACTTTTACAATTGATCTTTACTATCTAACCTGAGAGGTGAGCATTCAAAAAAGGCTTGTTTTTTCTTTCTGTGCAGAGTAGCTTTAAAATGAGTGGAAAGTGTTCATAACTCCAGGTGCTTCAGTGTTAAGAATTGTTGGTTTTAACATTAGATGAGCACTTAACAAACATACTGGATCTTAACCAATGAAAACTATTTCCTAGTCACATTTTGGGTCTGTCCTCGAGGTAGAAGTATTATTTCCAAAGTGTATGGACCAAGGATGCAAATTGAAAGTGTCCCTTACAGTCTAATGCTTGAGATTCCCTCACCTTGACTTCAGAGCTTCTGCAGAGCGCCAAGTCTGGTTCTTCAACAGGGATTGCGAAGGACCCCATTACCTGAGCAGTGGCTGTGACTAGGGTGGGAGCTGATGCAGAGGCTGATCTGTATGTGGAGTGACACTGGTGTGGCGTACCTGCAAATGGACGAGCTGTAGTAGGCACTCCTGATGAGCTTTTAAGTCTGGAGTAGGCGGGTGTGTGGTGATCCTGGGGCCTGGCTGAGGATGGGAGTGTGCCTGAGGGCTTCAGACTGCAAAATGATGTGGATTGCAGAGATCGGCCTGACAGTAGGTATTCATAGCATAAACCTCTGGGATGTTGCACTGCCTGGGCATAAACTGTCCTAGAAGGCTAAACCAGGTCAGAGAAGGGAGCCTAGCTCTGTCTGAAAGTCTGCTTTGAATCTTCCTGACACAGGAGGCTGTATGTCAGGATCCGCAGGGAGAAAAAAGAAAAACAAACAAAAAAAAAAAGTTGAAAAGGTCTTTAGGTAAAAGAACTGAGCATCATCCTTGCCCCTGGATTGGATGCTTTATTGGGAGGTGCAGAACTGGTGTGTATGGGGGGAGGAGGTGATGGGTGTTCTACTGTTGCACCTGGGAGGACGCACATGCGTGTGGAGGCGGGGAACGGGCGGCACTCCGGTTCCTGGTGCAGACACAGTCCCTGTATCTCCCCGGGGAATGCCATGTGAAGGGGAGAGCAGGAAAACTCTGGGCCTCTGGCTCTGTTTATGGCCTCCACCCTCTGGAGCAGCACCCTGCAATGGGGCCTTCCCGTGCTTGGTCCAGCCTCCGCTCTGCAGCGGGCCTCCCACACTTGGTTCAGCCTCCAGCTCTGTCTTCAGCCTCCCCTTTGCCACGATCCAGCCACTCTAGGTTTGACCTCCCCTTCCTTGTGTGCCTCCCACTCTCAGCTTGACCTCCCAGTCAACTCTGGGCCTCCACTCTGGGTTCAGCCTCCCACATTGCAGTGGGTCTACAATGATCAGTCTGGCTTAGACTTCCTTGCGTGCCTCCTGCCAGTGTTTCGGCTTCCATTATGGAATTGGTTTTCCACCCTTGCTTCATCCCACGGTCTGCTACGGGCCACAACTCTCACTTATTCAGGCTTCCAACTTTGTGTCACTCTCAGGTGTTCAGTGGGCCTCAGCTCTCCCCATTTCAGCCTCCACTCTGCAGTGGGCTCCAAGTCTTGTCAGTTCAGCTTCGTACAGGCCCTTTTGTCTTCCACCCACAGTTTGGCTTCCACTCTGCAGTGAGCCTCCCGCCATCATTTCAATCTCCTGTCTTTATTTTTGCTTCCCTATTGCAAGTCCTCAGCCTCTGTTTTGGTATCCCATTCTGCAGTGGGTTCCCCACGCCCGGGTCAGACCCCTCCCTGCTTGATCTGGTTTCTACTCCACCACAGGCCTCTCACACTTGGTTCTGCCTCCCACCTCGTGCTCCTTCAGTTCTCTTTACAGCCTCCTGCTTTTGGTCTGGCCTCTCTTTCTCCTTGGTGGTCCTGCCCCTCTCCATTTGGCCTCCCTCTCCATGCCCACCTGGCAGTTTCAGCAGCTGGGGGAAGGACGCGGTGCTGTGGCCCGTCTGTCCCTCCCCGCAGCCCCACGGGGTGCCGGGGCAGAGCCATTCCTTCAGGTCTGGTGGGGCGATGCCATGCTGGCAGCACCCAGGACCATGGGTGCAAGCTGGCAGCAGGAGCCCAGCCAGGGCGGGGGGACACACCGGGCTCCAGGGTAGGGGCTGTCGTGCTAAAGAGCAAGCCTGAGTACGCAGGACGTGGTGCTGCCACAGCTCGGAGCTCTTCCTTCCTACAAAATGCTGAAATAAGTCTATATTCGTTGCAGGCCTCAAAGCTGGAGAAGCAGAGCAGCGTGTCCGAGAGCGACTACGATAATCCCACGGCCGCCCTGGAGCTGGAGGAGACGGGGTAGGCGCGGTGATGCAGAGCTAACGGCGCAGCTCCGCGCTGTCAGGGGACGAGGAGCTGTGTGAGCAGCCAGTGCTGTCCCGCGGGGCCAACCTCTGCTTTGTTCCTTTGCAGGTCAGGCCGGAAGGGCCGGCAGAGGAGCGTCGTTTGGCAGGGGGAGGGATCCATCCCTGAAGACTCTGACACAGCCCCCAGCTCCAGTTTGCCCAGTACAGAAGATGTGATTCGGAAAACCGAGCAGATCACTAAGAATATTCAGGAGCTGCTGCGAGCAGCGCAAGAGAACAAGCATGACAGGTAAGGTGTGAGTGCTGGAAAAGGAAAATCCTTCAAGGTGTTTTCGGAAGTACAGCCACCACCCCCCACGTTAACACTGGAGATGCTGGTTTCACACCTACAAAACACATGGGTCCGTGGTCTTTCCCGGTACTGAACTGAGTGCCAGGGGGTGAGCAGGCACAAGTAACAAGCGCAGGCGGTGCAAACACACGCTTCCATCCCAAAAAGCCAGCGAGTGGGCTCTGGCTGCTGCCTGCTCTGCCCTGCCCGCAGCTGGCGCTCGTGGAATCCTGCTGCGAAGGGTCTGTTGTTTCAGCTATAAATCAGATTTGTTGCGGGGAACCTGGTGTAAGTTTTTCTTGGATCTTCGGACCTCCGTGTCCTTAGGTGAGGACACCCTGCAGAAGTGTGGTGGTAACACCAAGGTTCAGGAAAAAATTGTGGAGGCAGGGCGAGTTTGGCTTTTGTACTGATAACATACCAGCAAAAGCTCTGTTGAGCTATTGAGTTTAGACACAGATGTAGCTGAGTGAGGGGAGCCTGTTCACCAGCACATCGGGTAGCACACAGGTTCAGCTCTCAAGGAACTTTGGGGCCAACACAATTAATTTTAAGAATAGTTGTAAGCAAGTAAAAATGATACTGCCCTTGACTGATCATCAGGTGGTGCTCCCGCACCACTCTTGTAGAAGACTGTAAATAAAAGTTATGTCTTCCCAGGAACGAAGACATTTTAGGTCTGGAACAGCTTTGGTCTCCAGAAAATCTGAACTTGCAGGGTGGCAGGTCTTACACTCAGCCTCCCATCCCAAGTTCTGTGCCCGCCTTTGCTTGTGAGAAGCAGCTGGCGATTTATGTCAAGGCCTCACTTCCTGCCTTGCTGAGAGAAGTGCACAACAATGGGGCCACTTTTGTTCTGTGTTTTTTCCTTCTTGTAATTTTCTATTTTTAGAAGGGACAGCGCGCGGCCTCTCCTCATGCTGAATGGCGAGTTCTAACGTGTTTGTGCTGAGCTCATTGCCCTTCTCCATAACCTTTTCCACTGCAATCCCTTGCTACTTGTTTCTCACAGAGAAGAAACAGTAAGAGAAGTTTTAAGCGAGTTGGGTTTTTACGTATATCACAGTTTACAGAATTTGAATTATATTTAAAAAAAAAAAAAGTTGAAAGAAATAATGCAGCGTAACTAGCTTTTGCTGTTAAATTCAATAGTTTTTTAAACAACCTGTTACGTTCTTTTTTGTTTTCTCTTCTGTACCGTGCATGGAGTGGGGTGTCTGCCAGTACTTAAATGAGTATAATCTTGCAAAACACTGAGCTGTGAAGCTGCTGGTTTTTGTTTTCCTATTCCCTTGCCTTGTCTCAGTGGGCTGAGAACTGCACAGCCTGGGGCACGCAGGAGGTGGAACAGGCTTGTTCCACCGTCCTCTTCTTGCAATAGGGGAACGCTTCCTTAACAAAATGAGATACTTAGCCATGTAGTAGTACATCTTCCATGTGGGAACATTGTAGATGAAAATCACACACTGCATAGATAATCAGAGAGTAATAAAATGATGCAAGAGTATCATCTATTAATGAAACCCCTTCTTTTTTTTCCCTCGCCCTCTCCCGTTCCCTTTGCTGTGCTCAGCTGGCCGAGCACACCCTGGGAGTGTGCGGGCTTGCTGCCCTGCAGCCTCTGCTTGTCCAGCAGCCCCGGCCTGCCTCCTGCTGCTCTGCCCTCTGCCCCTGCCTCCCAGGCACAGTGTCCTTTCTCTTTCTCTCTGCTGCCTCTTTCCCTCACGCACCCTCCTTGCGTGAAACGCTTCGAATGACAAAGAAAAACTGCAGATGGCCAGTACAGAGAGTTACAAACCTGTGATACCACCTGTTCAGTTGAAGCTCCTGGTCTTGATTTAACAGGGAACAGAATCACAGCCTGGAACTGTAACTGCCTCTAGTGTAAAAGATTCTCTTGTCTGTTCTGTTTATATTGTCCATCAAGATAAATTAAATTACGACAGCTAACAGCACAACGTGTGGCTGCTGCTGCTGCGCAGTGTTGCAGAAGTAGCAGAAGTTTCCTGGTTCCCAACATGCAACACTCACACCTGACAGCTTAGGCCCTCAGCTTTTTATACAGCCGGGGTGTCAAATGAGATCACTTGTATCTTGAATCAGTGAAAGAAGATGTGTGTTTATACAGCGTTATCTTCTAACCTGGCCGAAATACTGTTTATTAACACCTAAAATAAAATGAAATTTAAGTGAGATGTTCTTTAAAACAGAACTTCCGGGTTCTAACCCCAGGTGTTATTGCCAGTGACAGATCCCAGGACTGGAGGAAGAGGTTACCACAAGTTACTTACAGTGATGGATTCTTTTTTCCAAGCTGTCACTGCTTGAATAGTCCTGATGTCTTACTGGAATGTGTGTAAACTCAACAAATGTGTCATCTTATTTCATGAACTTACAGGGAGTGTTTAGACTAGAAAATAAGGCCATTTCTCCAAGACATACTGTAAACTTTGCAGCTAACAGAGAGAAAATATTATGAAATATGTATGGTTAATCTTGGTCTCTCTTATTCAAGTTATTCTTAGGGCTTTCTCTGCCTTGTTAGTGAGGGGTTTCATCAGCAAGCTATTCTGCACTGGAAGTTTGGCATACCCCATTCTTGGTAGGTGTCTAACCTTCCAGTTTGTGAAGAGAAAAGGGATATACCTGCATGGTGCAGCACCCCTGGCTTCAACTGATAATGGACTGATGCAGGGAGGGAAATAAAGCTCCTTGGAATCAGGTGTGTCCCCAGCATGCAGAGCTGAAGCGTCACAGAGGTGGCTCAGAGTAGCTGAGAACTGATGGGTTAAAAGCTTATGGAGGTCAGACTTCAGGTCTTGCTGCTGCATGTTTTGAATATTGTTTTTTGGGGTTTACTATGTTGTGGTAACTTAGGTACAAAATGTTTTTTTAAATTAGGCTTCTACTTTGTACCTTACATGTGGAAAAAAATGTGGAGGCAAATTGCATTGCTTCAGAGGTGCAGACAAGACAGTCCTATAAATACCAACACTTGGCTGTCAAATTATTCTGAAGTGTTTGGATGGCCAAAATTCAACTCTGAAGCGTAAAATCAATTGAAGCAGTTTTGGTTTTTTTAACTTTTCTTCAGAGGTTACTGGATATTTTTAGCTGCTTAGATCATTAGCCATTTAAAAACTTTTCTTTTAGTAGTCTGGTTTTATAGTCTCTTGCCTTACAGAGAAAGAGCTCTTTCAAAACAAATGGGTAGAGATTTCCCTAAAATGGTAGCAAGTTAAAATTACTCAGATCCCACATACAAACTTTTTTTTTTTTTAATCTGCTTTTGATCATTAACACTGCACTGAGGAAAACCTGCTTTTTTTCTAAAGTACCTCTGTATCACTGGATTTTGTTTAAATATTCTCAAGCAGCAGACTCTTACTTCGCTTGTGCCTGACTGACATGAACCAGTTTGCTTGGGCATGCTCTCCCACACATATCGATATGTCATCGTACATACATCAAGCAGAAGGAGCCGAGCAATTTTCTGTACAATTTGGAGATGAATTCTAGCATTTGAATAGTTGGGTGGCGGGGTGGTTAGGAAATGTGAGCATGTGAATTAATGGGCAGTTAATATTCATGGTCACATGTTTCCATAATCGCATACAAATTGAGACTTTTTCTAACAATGTTTGGTATAATAGGTGTGGAAAGTTCTTCTCTCAAACAAACTTTGATGGAAGAGTAATGAAAATTTAAATAATTTTGTACAATAGGTGAAGTTCTTGCTTTTCCTGAAGTTGCATAGTTGTATCTAGACTTGTGCTGCAGTGTGCTGGGAACACAGAGGAGACGCTATGAGTCTCCATATTGTGTGTTGCATTAGCTACTCCAGTTGCCTTCAGTGCAGCCTACAAAGATATTTTTAGAATATATATAGGGGTTTTGATACTCAGTTGTTTTCAGAATAATAGCCACTGACTAGTGAAATTGAGAAGGAAAGGAGTCTTTACATAATGAATACTACATTGCATCTTTTTGCAGCTACATACCGTGCTCTGAGAGAATACACGTGGCAGTAACGGAAATGGCAGCCTTGTTCCCAAAAGTGAGTACCTTCCAGCATTAAAATGGTTTTGGCCTCATTTCGTGTTAGATTTCCCTTCCATAAATGAGAACCAAAAGCTGAAGGTAGGGAGCAGTGACTGGGTGTTCTTGTCACATCTGGCGTCTCTGTATTTATTAGCATGCCAATTGGGAAGGGCTAATGCATCGATCCAGGCCTTAGAGTTTGAAGTTTAAGAGTAATTAGAGAATTGCATGCAGTTCCTCCAAAACTGGAGGCTACTTTGCATCTATCTTGAGGAGTCGTGGTTATACAAGAATTTTGCTAGACTCATCACCCCCAAGTTTCCATTTGAGTGCTGTTGCCTGGATTTCTTACTTGCAGGTATGTTTAAATCTGTTATCTATCTACCAAAGTGTTCTGTTCCTTCACAGAAAATTGAGGATGTGAAATCTCCATGATAAAGTTTTTGTAAACCCTTATCTACCTCTTTAAAACTGCAAGGGAAATCTAATGCTGTTGTGCCTACGTGAACTGATTGTCTTGTACTTGGTGTACCCTTTTGTCAGCCAAGACATGGGCTGGGTAGCAGTAGAAAAGGCACTAGAAAGTTTGTCTGAGTAACTTCCTAAATGAGAGCATGAAGCTGTATTCCCTGCGTGCTGCCTGGCAGCAGTTGGAAATGCCCCTGAGATGAGAGAGGAGAAATTCTGGGAACTGGCTGTATCCATCCCTGCAGCAGCGATGGCTCGGGCGGTCGCAGCACAGCGGTGTGTGCAGAAGGCAGGGCCCAGGCAGATGTCCCCGGTTAAAGAACACCCAAGAACCACTACGGAGTAATTAAAAGCCATCCTGAAACAGTTTTGTTGCTATGTCTAGTTCCAACTTCTGCTTTCCTTTCCCAGAAACCCAAATCTGAACTGGTAAGGACTTCTTTGCGTCTGCTGACATCTAGTGCCTACAGACTCCAATCCGAGTGCAAAAAAACCCTTCCCGTGGAGACGTGCCCCACGACAGACATCCAGCTGGTCACGCAGCAAGTTATCCAGTGCGCCTACGACATCGCCAAGGCTGCGAAACAGCTGGTTACCATCACAACCAAAGAGAACAACAACTGAGTCACACTTGGCTTGTTAGCCTGGTTTTTTAAGGGTTGGATTTCAAATAGAGGTGTGGAACTATTCAAATTTTTATGCGAAAAACTAAAGGGGCAAGAAACTTTTTTTAAAACTCAGTATTATTTTTGCATGTTTTCTAACAATTTTATGATTAATTTAACCCACTGCCTTATTTTGTGCCTGTGTTGCCAGTTTAGTTACAGATAATCGCATGTCGCAGATAGCTGTTGAGCCAATATCGCGTACCAGCGTTGTATCACGCTCTCGCTAGATGTTTCCTTGGGGCCACCTCCTGCTTTCAGGTATCGCTTGCAAAAAAACCCCCCGCCCTGAAGTCAGCTGCACGTATCGGAGGGCAGAACCTCCCCTCTGGTCCCTCCGTCCTGCAGCCTCGCGTGCCGCGGTGCCGCTGAGCGAGGAACCTGCAGCAAAATGGGCTCTGAAGGCTCCAGGACCGTAACTGCTGCCAGGCAGGAAGGAGGTCGTGGTCCCGGTAACTCAGCACGAGCCGAATATTATCTGTTCCCATATCAACTGTTGTGCAATAATATGTTTTTAGTCTGCTAAAACAATAGTAGTTGTGGGCATCCGAGCTTATTACATGTCACTATACAAGGTCTTTGTCACTTTATCTGTTTTGGAAGGAATTTGAAACTTAATAGTTATTTCTTTTAGTTGTCACTATGCCATTAATATATATGTTTGATGTTACTTTAGGGCATTAGTGGTTAAAATATTATCCTTTGTTTCTCATTTAATAATTCATTCTTAAGTTTCCTACAGAATTTTACTGTCATCTTCAAGGCACCGTCTTGTTTGCAGCAGCGTTGCTCAGTAACTCAAGATGCAATTTCACTAAAGATTTCTGTGATAATTAAGATAGCAGAAAAGGAAGTCCAAGAGTGCCAGTGCAAAAGCAGCTGTGTCTGCCATAGCGTATAACCTCTGTACCTCAGCACACCCAAATGTGAAAAGATGTCTTCTATCTAGTAAGTTTTATGCAAATCTTTCAAAATTTTACAAGCTACCTGCAGCGTAACCCACGCTAGGCTGCCTGTCAGAAAGGTGGATGGGTAACAAATGTCAATGTGTGTTTCAGCTTTTTTCATTTGTAACAGTTCACAAAAATTCCAAAAATGTGTCAGTCTGTAATTCCAAAAAGGAGAGGGGTTTGGAAGTCTAAATTCCAGGGGATGGGGTTGGGGGGAAATCACTAATTTTTGCCTCCACCTGTGTCTCATGTGGCAGCGTGGTGGTGTTTCAGGGGGCTGGCTGCTGTTCCGGGCGAGGTCGGGGGCTGCAGCGGCGGGGGCTGCAGCGGCTGGCGCTGGCAGCTGTCGAGGTGAACGTTGAGTTTTCACTGAACCCTTCGAGTCAGAAACGGCTGCCTGCTGTTCCCCAGCCCAGGCTGCAGCCTGCGGTCTGCCAAAACCGCACACTTTTCAAGGCTTTCTGGTGAAAAAGTGCCCTAGTTAGGTGAACAAATGAACTGAAGTTCAGCGGTTGGTTCCTCTTCAAATCATCGTGTTTGTATGTGTATATATAAACACTAAGTGCCATAACACTGTGGGATTCCTGTATGTTGTAATTAGGGCCCTTTTTAAAGTAGTGCAAGTTTGAGGGAGGGAAGGAGAGAGTAGATGACAACTCAGTAAACTGATGTTCTGCAGCGTGGGGTTATTTCCTTTCTGCACTTCTGAATTCCAGAACTGTCTCTAAACGCAGGGGAACGCAGCCAGGCTGGGATTAGAACTGCAGAAGACGTTTGTAAAACCTACTTCAGAATTATGCTACTGGCAATTAACTATGTTGATAATCTGCTAGGAACCTTTCCTTAAATTGGCATCACGGAAAGGCAGCAGATGGTATTTTTAAATCTCTCAGGACAGCGTCGTGTGCTTTTTTTTTTAACATATCTTACCCGATTTCCAAAGCAGGGTAACGCCGAGCTAGCAGTTGTCCAAACTTGCTTCTGACCGAAACCAAATGGACCCTGGGGTAACTGCACACCCTCGTTCCAGCTACACTAGCTCCAGATTTTTTAAAATCGGCCCTTTAGCTTGTTGGAAGGCCCAGGTGTAAAACCACGGCCAGCCCCGCCATGCTCTCCTGCTCTGCCCCCCCTCTCCTGCCCTTTTAGGGTTTCCCGTGCCAGACTGGCCCTTCTCTGCCACCGCGGGTCAAACCCAAGTGCTGTGAGCACGTGCTGAGTCAGCGCTTTTCACAAAGGGGCGGAGTGGTACAAAACCAAGGAGCTAAGGAGAAGCACAGAGATGAGCCCACAGCTCCTACCGCACTGCAGGTCAGCAGCAGCTTTGTAACAACCTGAAATAACAAATGTGGGTTTTTTTCTCTTATGACCAGATCTCCTCTTTTTCCCCTGTAAACAAACCTGCTCTTTCTCTACCAAATGCTGCATAGGAAAGTACAAATTTTTTTGCCTTTTTCCAAAACTTGTATTTATCAGTGTCATTCTGTCTGTACAATACTTTGACTTAATCTTTTGTTTACAGTATTACTATAAAATGCTAAAACCCTTTCAGCGTGCAAAATTATTTGCTTGTTTTGTAAAGATCTTGGAAAAGGTTGCTGTAGGTGGGTACAGCTCGCTGTGCTGAGGCGGCACCTGTCTTTGTAACAGCTCATCGTGTGCTGTCTTAATGCTGACCATAAGAGTCAGAAATCAAGTGCCACAATCAAAAGAAACTCCCCTCCAGCACTTTGCTCATGTAAAGAAAGAAAGGGTTGTTCACATTGCAATTGTTAATTATTTATGAAACAAGTCAGAATTAGGTCCTTCTGGAAAGGAGCTGGACATCAAGAATTATGGCCATGGCACACGTTATCCATGTTACTGATTTGCAGTGTGTTATGAATTAACTCCTAAAAGTTTATTTGCTGTATGGCCCCACTGTACCACGTACTAAACTACATCATCCCGCTCCCTGAACACGGAGTAAGTGAAACCGTTCAGTCTTCCAAGGATGCTCACACCTCCGCAGTCCTGAGGCCAGAAGCAGCTGGCCCACAGCGAAACATTTTTCAGAAATTACTGAGTTAAGTCTTGGCCTCATTGTAAGCTATTCCAAAACCACCTTATTTCAGGAGTTCCTTGATTCTTCCAAGTTTGCTTTCTGTAGCCTGCAGCTGCAGTTGGTGCTCATTCCTCCGGTACAAAGTCCAGGACTCCTCAGGTCCAGGCTGCTTTTGGGTAACTGTAGAGCTGCCGGGGTCAAAACAAAGACCATAATTACTTTATAGACTTAGAATTAATCCTCCACCTGGGTGCTGTTCAGCATGTGCAGGCGGGACTCAGGGGAGCAGAGAGTATCCTCAGAAAAGGCATCTTGAGTTGACACTTTAGGGCAGTAACGCTGCCTTCCCTAACTTCAGTAGCTACTGAATAAATGACAGAGGTGAGTGGCTGCAGCGTAGCTCCGAGTTTAGTATGAAAACTAGGATTTAGGTAGGGTTACACAAATTCTGCTCCTTTTTTAGAGCTGGGCCACGCACACTGGAAGGTGGACAGGGAGCAGCTGAGAAGCGCTGTACCGGCTGCGTCAACGCAGCTCATCGTGCTGAAAATAACATTTGAGGCAGCAGCGACAAGTCTGCCTCAGAGATTATTTAAAAAAGGGGACCCAAAGCGAAAGTATCAGCAACAGAAAAGCCATTTCTGAGAATTACAGCCCTCTGTCAGAAACGCTGCCAGGGGAAGGGCGGGCTGGGGGTTCTGCCCTGGCGCTGCGCGGTGCCGCCGCAGCCCGTGCCGCTGCTCCCTACCCGGCTGCGATACCCTCGCTCCGCCACGCGCCTGGCCTCCCGCCGCACCAGCTCCTCGCAGCGCTGCCGGGCTGATTCCTCCTCCTCCTCTTCCTCCCGCTGGCGCCGCTGCTCCTCCCGTTGTTGTAAGCGGCGTTCCCTCAGCTGGGCACGGAGATGGCGGGGCCGTTACCGCGAGGTCAGGGACAGACCCCGCGCACCTCCGGACAGCGGGCCGTACCTGCGCGTCCAGCTCCTGCCGCCGGGCTGTCTTCAGCTCCTCCTCCTGCTCCTTCTCTCGCCTAGACAGCTCTTTCGCCTCTTCAAGTTCTTTAATCAGCTGCTCTCGATACTTCACAGACTCTTCTTGGGCTCGTCTGTTTAATTCCATCTTCTCTTGGATCTGGCGCTGTCTGCCTGCAAGCACCTTTGGGAAGGGAGAGGATTAAGGGAGAAGTCAAGAAATGGGCAGTCAGGAAGTCTGGCAGATGGAGAACGGGGGAAATCTCAGTGCAGATGGTTAAACCGTTCTCAGGAAATGTATGAGAGCAGCAGCAGAACTCTGCACCGGGTACAGGAGGCTGTGACCCTCCGGAGGGTGGAGAGTTACAGCTGGAGCGATGGCTTCACCGAGCCAAGCGGTCAGCACCTCATTCATCAGGCGATCTCTGGCTGCTTTTTCCCTTTCCCATTCTTCTTCCCTCTTCTCCCACACTTTTTTAGCTTCATCTCTAAAGGAGAGAGGAAGAATTATCTCTAAGGTTACTACTTTGAGTTTAAAAACCCCTTATATACTCATGGGCACAGGTGAGCTACCCTGTGCTTCAGAGGAACCCTTGGGTTTCTCTTCCTGTCTGTTTGCAGGAAGCATGTCCACCCCACTCGTGCCTGCTCCACAAAACTCCGCCAGTCTCCCCGCTGCACCCGCCTGCCCCAGGCACAGAAGGGCCTCGGGGGGGATGTCTGACTCTTAACGATGTTCCGTCACACTGAGGGGGGTAGTTAAGGGCACTGCTGGGAAAGCTGAAGATTTTGCAAATCTTCCCTCTGCAACAAAACCTTTAACTAAAACTCAGTGGGAGCACACGCCGTCCTGGCACCAGCAAAGGTGCTCTCTGCGCCGGGGAGAGCGTGAGTTGAACCTGAACGAGGAACCTGAGGCAGCTTTTATCTACAAGCTCTGAGATACACCAGGAAACAATGTGCAGGTTTTGGAGTCACTTAGACTAAACCCTTCCACCTCAGTAATGCAGAATCACTGAAAGCTGGTTACAAAGCACTTAAAACAGAAAGGTAATTCTTGTTGTCTCCGCATAACTACCTTTTTTTGTTATTAAAGCTCTTGCATTAGAGCTAACGTAACAAAAATGATGGACTACCTCTTGGGCTGAGGTAGTTGAGAAACGGCCTCAGGTTTTGATTCTCTCGTGGCAGAAAAGCGTTGGCTCTGTACTGGCAGGCTGGCCGCCTCGCACAGGACTCGGCACATGGAATGGCCAGACACCTCTTTCTAACATCCACTTTCAAAGCCTCTAACAGCCACAAACGCAGCTGTGCCAACCAGGCAGGAACATTCAGCACCTACGGTCTCGCTGGATGACGTTCGGAGGTGGGCAGACTCACCTGAAAAAAGTCTGCAGCTCTGCTTCCCTCTCCTTTTCCAACTGGAGCTGCTCCTCAATGACATGTTTCATCCAGGCAACATCTGCAACAGCCCGCTCTCGTCGCGCGGACTGGCGGCGCTGATCCTCATCTTCTTTCTCCAGGAGGGCTAATAAGATTTGCCTGTCTATCTCCTTGAGAAAAGCCACAAGATTAACAACTACCCAACAGGCTTGCAGCCCGCGTGCAGGGCTGCTCTCCACAAATTATTGTGAGTGGTGTCAAGGATGTGCTCAGGAAGACACTCGGGCTGCTGGCTTCCCCATGATCTTTTTGCTCCAGCCCTGTTGCCAAGCTGGAAGGGGCTCACTAACTAATTATCTGTAGGCATCAGAGCCAGGCACATAAACGAAACACAAAGAACAACCTCCTTCAGCACACAGTATCTATAACGTATAAATCAAGGGGTATTTCCTCTTACCAGCTCCTCTTGTATCTGCTGGGCTCGTCTCTTTAACTGGACATTACACTGATGCCTCAAAAAGCGACTGAAGGAGAAAAAAAAAAAAAAAAGCATTCAAACTGAGTGCAAAGCCCGATGTTGTTATACACCAGGACTCAGAAGGTACATCTGTGACGACGTAACTTACAGGCAACAGGGCAACAGAGGTACCTGCTACCGCCAACACGAACAAAAAGAAGTAATGGCACCAATGCGTTTGGTCATTAACTGTTCTGGGCGTTCCATCAAAAACCAAACTGCTGCTCCCTGAAGTATCTCCTTGTGCCACAAGTGCTACCGCGGACGTAGGAGCAGCTTCTATCCAAGCCCTGCTGAAACAAGCTACACTCGATCTCGTACCCAAGCTCTTTCTTCTTCCGGTGCTCTTCCATTTGTTTCCTTTCTTCTTCCAAGTTCTCCAGCTCCCACTGCTCCTTTAATAAATTCTCTTGTTCTTTTTTCAGCTTTGTTGCCTAAAAGGAAAAAACAGCCACCAAGAAAGAGTACATCAGAGAGCGAGGACATCCCAGAGCGCGCCTTTGTACTGGAGTTTGTACCCTGCTCCGCTCCTCTGCGAGCGGTCAAAATCCTCATTGCAGTAAATATTACACATTAATTTAATTTGTGGCTCAGAACACAAGAGACACCGTGAGGAGCTCCAGCTGACAAAGCCTGTGACCTGAACCTGTCACACTTTGAAGTTTCTAAGAATCTTTTTCTCATCTGGTGCAGCACAGAAGGGGGCTCATATTTCAAGAGGAGTAAACAAAAGCTACCAGAACGCGGTTAATATGCCAGTGTTCAGGGGAGAGGTCTACGTTACTAGCAGAAGTTGTGTCACAGATAACTTTGTTCCAGATTTAACATGTTGGAGAGCTGGAGGGAAGAGGTCAGGTCCATATTGCTGTATTTCCAAGTGAAACAATGAATTTCCTTCTCAAATGAGGAGAAACTAAAGCTTACCTCTGTCTCCTGTAATTTCAGTTCTTCTATTTGTTGAAGCAACACCTCCGCTTGCTTCTTCTCTTCCAGCCGACGTTTCTCTTCCTCTTGTCTCATTCTTTCCAGTGCTTCTCTTCGTGCAATTTCATACTTATTTTCATAACGTTTTTTCTCTTCAAGTTCAGTTGCTTCTTTCTTTCCGAGCCAAAAGAAAACATGGCATTTAAAGTTAGGCTAACACAAAGAAACAGCCTCTGGCTCAGGAAATCCACAAATCAAACTCCTGCAAGCTGACATGTACTGGGAAAACATGGAACAAAATACACTAGGAACACAAGAACAAAGCCAAACTATCTGCTGATCACTGCCTGAAAATGGTTATCAGTCTGTACACAGCCTTTGCAGGACCCTGCACTGCCCTGATGCTAAGCATAAGTGGCCTCATAAATAGGAAAATGAGCGTATTACAACCCAGATTATTTAGTTAACTGTGAAATGTGTATTTGAAGCCCTTTGTTATTCTTTCACATCAAGAATCACTGTATCCTCGTATCAAGTATGTGCATATTCAAATACTGAGCTGCAGCTTTGCACTGGCTCTGCACTGCAGCTCGCCGTTGGTTGGATGAGTACTCAGCGCCCCACTGCATCCTGCAACAGATCTGTTCAGCAGACAGCACTGGCTTTGCTAGGAGACAGGTAGCATATGCTGCTTGGACAGGAACAACAGCTCTTCCTTAAAAGCATCCGTCCCATTAGCAGGTCCTGTCGTTCTGCAGACACCAGAACTCCCCATCTCTACGGGAACGAGCACGGTGACCTCAGTCATTACGTGGTTTAAGGCTGGTGTGAGAAAACGAACAAACAGCCAACTCCCATTCCTTCCACAGCCGTGCCGTGTCCGTACAGGAATGCAAATGGTTCTGCCAGGCGGGTCAAAAGGCGCACAGCCTCACAGCTCCTGCTGCTCCCACATTTCGGGAGGCAGCCCTAGCGACCAGTAACACCAGGGCTGCCCTGGCGTACCTTGGTTTTCTCCGTTAGCTGCTCACCCCAAGCCTCCACCACGTGCCTCCTGTGCAGCTCCGACTCTACCTGCAGATGACAAGATGCCATTTGTGCCAGCTCTCCTGTCCCCCAGGATCTGCTGGACTCTCTGGAGCAACATCGAGCCCAGCCGTCGCCCTGGAGGCCCAGCAGGCTCTGCCTCTGCAGAGGCGGGTTCCTTGGGGTGTCCTGGGTGCCCACCAGGTCCCAAGCTGAAGGTCAGTGTCACTAGGAAACACCACAGGGACACTGAAACCAGAGCTGTGGTGGCTAGAGCAGCAGGTCAGCGGAATAAATAATGTACACAGCAGGTACAGCTTTAAAAAGCACCTGAGCTGTTTACATCCTGGGCAGCACCAATCTGCTCTGAGTCTGAACACATTTCTGACTGTTTTTGAAAAAATACCAACTTTGAGGGGACTTCTTATACAGTTAAGCCATTTTACTTCTTTGCGTTTTGCTTACCAGAACTCAGGACAATTGCCGTGATTCAAGATGAATGACAACAGTAGATACGTGCTGACTTTTGAGTTAAAAACTGGTTTAATAAGCTCAAAGCAGCGGGAAGTAAAAAGAAAGTAACATCACCTCCCGGAGCTGAGGGTTGTTTTTCTTCCAGTGCTCGTAGAGCAGCTGCTCAGCAACCTGGAAAGACGAGAGTTGGGTTATGCCAGAGCACAGAAAATACCAAACTCTCCCCCCTGGCAGCCACCAGTTAAGGGCAGCAAGTGTGGAAAAACACAGCGCGGAACGCTCCTGCCCTGTCCCCCCACAGTCCTGTCTGCCCACTGGGGAAAGTAAGGGAGCAGCCCCCCAAACTGGGAGTGCTCCTGCCCCAGGAGGGATGGGGAAGCAGCCCCGGGGTGCCTGGCGGCTCCCCCCTGCCTCACCTTCCTTCCCCTCCCCACCCTATCTTCCTCCCTCCCTCACCTTCCCCCCCCACCTCATCTTCCTCCCTCACCTTCCTCCCCCTCACCTCATCTTCCTCCCTCATCTTCTTCCTCCCCCTCTCACCCTCCTCCTCCTCCCCCTCTCACCTTCCCATCCCCTTACCTTCCTCCTTCTCCCCCCCATTTTCCTACCCCCCCACCTTCCTCACCTTCCTCCCCCCCACCTCATCTTCCTCCCTCACTCACCTTCCTCTCTCATCTTCTTCCTCCCTCTCTCACCTTCCTCCTCCTCCTCCCCCCATCTTCCTACCCCCCACCTTCCTCTTCCTCCTCCTCCTCCCTCCCTCCCTCCCTCACCTTCCTCTCCCCCTCCCCACCTTCCTCCTTCCCCCCTCACCTTCCTCCTCCTCATCTTCCTCCCCCATCACCTTTCTCCCCCTCCCCTCACTCCTCGCTCCTCCTCCCCTTCCTCCCCTCCCACCTTCATCCTCCCCGTCCCTCACCTTCCTCCTCCGCTGCTCCCGGCCGGTTCGCAGCTCCTCGCTCCGCCGCCGCATCCCGCCGCCCGCCCGCAGCTCCCTCAGCTCGGCCGCCAGCGCTTCCCGCTCTTCCCCGAGCAGCCGCCGCAGCCGCTCCCGCCGCTCCTCCAGCCGCGCCGCCGCCGCCGCCTCCTCCTCCTCCTCTTCCTCCCGCCGCCCCGCCGCCCTCCCGCCGCCCCGGGGTGCGCTCCACCTCGCCTGCCTGGCGCAGCAAACGGCGTCGCGGGCGAAGGCGCGGCTGACCCGCTCCCACCGCTGCCGGCCGCGCTCCTCCAGCTCCCGGCGCCGTCCGGCGGCCCAGCGCTCCGCGGCCCGGCCCCGCGCCGCCATCGCGGCCCGGGCCCAGCTACGGGCGGCGCCGAGGGACACGCCGCGCCGAGCTCCGCGCTCCCGGCGGCTCCGCGCGTTCAGCGCCTCGGAATTATGTCGGGTGGAAGGTTTTTTTCTGCTCGCTCATTCTGCGCCAAACCCACCCACCCCCCTCCCTCCCGCCGCCAAACCGAGCCGGTGCGTGCCCCAGCATGTGCCCAGGGACGGGGTGCGAGGCGGGGAAGGAGGCGGCCGCCCCCGGTCCGTGCCACCGCGCTGCTGGCACTGGGACTGCTGCCAGCAGCTTCAGCGCCAGCCAGAGATCGGTATCGCCCCGCGACCTGTTTTTCCGGAATAGCCGGTAAAAACACCGGGTTTGGGTCCCTATCGCTAGCGAATCGCCTCCCCGCTGGACCCGGCGGAGCCTCCCCCCGCCGCGGGTCGGCGGGGGGGGCGAGCTCATCCTGCCCGCATCCAGCTTGGTGTCGTTTTTCCACCCCAAGCCCTTGTTTTTTTTGTTTGGGTGTTTTTGTTTGGGTTTTGTTTTGTTTTTTTTTTTTTTTTTTTTTTTTTTTGAACGAGTATTTAAAATTAATCACTCCCGCCTTAGGGTCGAGGTTTGTTTTCCCGGCGCAGGCCGGGCCGCGCTAACTGAACCATCTGCTCCCTATGAAAAATTGATCTCCCTTAAATAATTCACAACCACCAGTAAGGAACGCCGTGCCCGGCCAGGGCGCGGAACGGCCGGTGCGGGGCCGGGGCAGCATCAACAACGGCGGCGAAGGGGGGGACGCTCCGATTTCCCCCCCGCTACCGGGGCCGAGCTGCGCTGCCCCCGGGGCCGCAGCGGGGGATGAACCAGGGTGGGTTAAACACGCTGGGCAGCCCCCGTGGGCAGCACCCCACCCCGGTCCCCAAACCGGGAACCGGCGCGGGGGGTTCGGAGGGGAGCTAGGCCCCGCCCCGCCGCCCCCCCTTTAGTCCCGCCCCCGCACTCCCATTGGCTAGAGGGCGGGTGGGCGGTGCGCGGCCATTGGTGGGAGCGGCGGGGGGGCGGGTCGCTGCGGCGGCGCGCTGCCGGGTCGGGCGGCGGGGCCGGTCCCGGTGCGGAGCGGAGCTGGACTGGGCCGGGCTGGGCCATGGCGCTGCTGCTGGAACACGAGTTCAAGCCGCTGCCGGCGGACAAGCAGATCGAGACGCTGCCTTTCCTGGAGGCCGTGGCACATCTACCGCCTTTTTTCGGTAAGCCCGGGCTGCGGGGGCTGCGGCAGGATCGGCCCGGTACCGGCGGGCAGAGGGCCCTGAGGCCCTGCCGGTCCCAGTAGCACCTCTCCAGCGGGGCTCCCCCGGTTCCATGTCGTTCCCCCCCTGCCCCGGTGCTGGACCCCCGGTCGGTGCTCACCCCCGGGCTGGGCTGCTTCCCGCACCCGGTGCTCGGTTTCCCCCCCCCCCCCCCCCCGCTCCGGGGAAGGAGCTTGGCGGAGCCGGGGTTGCATCACGATCCCGTCAAACCCGCCGAGCAGCCCCGTTGGGAAACATCCCCGGGGCCCCACGCCCCGGCAGAAGCCGGCGGTGGCTCGGTGCTCCGGCTGTACCGGGGGTGTAGCCTGGCGGTTACGACTCGGGACTTCGCGGTGTCTCCTCCGTCCCCTAATGACTAATCGCCCCCCCCTCCGCTTTGCCACAGATTGCCTGGGGACTCCTATCGTCTACTCCCCCGTCAAAGCAGACCTGACTGGAAATATCAAGGTAGGAAGGGGCACAGGAGGGCTCGGGGGGGGGTGGTGGTGAACCCCCGCACAGAGATTTTGGGGGATGGGAGAGGCAAGACCCAGAGGGGTCTAACAGGGCTTTTCTTCCCATTGGGGTTTTCGGGCTTGGCGGAGGCTCGTCACGTTGTGTGCGTTGGCTGAACGTGGGGCTCCCCGGTGAAAGCACCGTCCAGCAGCCGTGGTGCTCGCTGAAGGCACCACCTTTCCCCACGCCACAGCCACGGGTGCCAGCCCAGTTGCTCTCCAGTGCCTCCCACCACCTCTCTGCTCGGCAGCTCCAGGGAACCAACCCCCCCCCATTTCTCTACCCTCAGAAAATCCGAGCGGTTTACGACTCCAACCCAGCCAAGTTCAAAACGCTGCAGAACATCCTGGAGGTGGAGAAGGAGATGCACGGCTCGGCCTGGCCCAAGACGGGCGCGACGCTGGCACTGATGTGGTTGAAAAGGTGATTCACGGTGTTGGGGGCTGCGCCGGGCTGTGTCCCAGCACGTGGGGAGCCCGTTGACACCGGCTGGAGAGCGTGGGGCGCTGCTTTTCAGGGAGCGTTCCTGCATGAGCAGGAACACCCAAGGGCAGGCAACAGCTCTGTGAGGAGGGTGTGCTGCCGGGGCCGGGGGGGTTTGGGGGGGGGACCTGGATGCGTCGGGGATGGAGACTGGGAATCAGCATCCCCTTCCCCACCCTGACATCTCCGCTCTTCTCACAGGGGCCTGAAGTTCATGCTGGTGTTGCTGCAGAGCATCTCCGACGGCGAGCGGGATGAGGAGCACCCGAACCTCATCCGAGTAAACGCCCTGAAGGCTTACGAGATTGCGCTGAAGAAATACCACGGCTGGATGCTGCAGAAGCTCTTCACGGTGAGCATTCGCACCTCTGTGAAGGAAAACAGCCTTTCTTTAAGCCCAGGTGCTCGTTACATGCCCCGAGCAGTGATGTGCTTTCAGGGGATAAAGGCTTGGAAACACGGGAAGCTGCTGATCTATTTTGAGCAGTATTTCTAGGGGACCATCTGTGCACATCTCTGCTTCTCCAAGGGTCTAGCCACCATTCCTAAGGTTGTTCCCGTGGCAATAACCCAAACTGGGGTCCTGCACGTGGGATGGAGAGGGCTTGTGGGAGCCTTACAGCTTCCTCCCCTGTTTTATAGGGCTCGGTCTACGCTCTTCCATACAAATCGGATTTGCTGAAGGCGTTAGAGAAGGGTAAAGAAGTCAAAGAGGAGGAGAGCATAGAGAAGATTCATCAGTTTCTCTCGAGGGTCACTCCCATCCTGGATGCAATTTATGAGATGTACACAAAGATGAACGCCGAGCTGAGCTACAAAGCCTAAGGCTCGCACGGGACTGGCAGGGCTTAAATCAGGTGTGACGGGTGCTACCTGTGTCTTAATCACCGAGTCAGCTGGGGAGGCTCCCGGCTGTCAGGCAACTTTGATTCTCATCTGGATCTGCAGTGGATAACCTGTTTTATAAAAAAAAAAAAAAAAAAAAAAAAAAAAAAATTAATAATTAATTTTTCTATTGAGAATGCAGCAATAAAATAATTGTACCGTGCGTCATCGCAGGATTTCCCAAGCTTTTGTGCTAAAGAGGAAAGCTGACTGTTTCTAAGTCCTAACCGACGGGTTTGTGTCTGCTGCAGCCTGGGGAATGAAGCAATGAAGCGTGGTGCTGCTGGGGCTCTGCCCCGGCTCTCGGACTGCGCCGCCGCACCCTCGGCTGCGCCTGGTACCTGACAGGCGCCCGATGCTGCTTGACCACCGACGGGCACCTGGGTGAGGAACATCCCGAAAGGAGTCAATGACTTTCCCTGGTGACGCCAAATCTTCCAGCGCCGGCGTGGGAGCGAGCCCCCCGACGCGGGGTTTGTGGAAGCAGGCGCTGCCTTACTAACCGCCCGCCCTACGGCGCTGCCGAGCCCTGCGCCGGCGGGGCAGGGAGGCAAAAGTTAATAAAAATTCATGGTAACCTCGGCCTGGGTGGCTGTTTTGGGGGGGGGCAGGTCCTGAGGAGGGTGTTTTGGGGGGCTGTTTTGGGGTGGATATCTTGGGGGGGCTGTTCCTTGGGGGGCTGTTTTGGGGAGGGTGTTTTAGGGCTTGTTCCTGGGGGGGGCTGTTTTGTGGAGAGAGATTTTGGGGGGGCTTTTCCTGGAGGGGCTGTTTTGGGGAAGGTATTCTGTGGAGGGTGTTTTAGGGCTTGTTCCTGGGCGGGGCTGTTTTGTGGAGAGAGATTTGGGGGGGCTTTTCCTAGAGGGGCTGTTTTGAGGAAGGTATGTTTTGGGGGGGCTGTTTTGCAGAGAGAGATTTGGGGGGCTTTTCCTGGAGGGGCTGTTTTGGGGGAATGTATTTTTGGGCTTGTTCTTGAGGGGGCTGTTTTGGGGAGAGTATTTTGAGGGGGGCTGTTCCTTGGGGGGGGGCTATTTTGTGGTGAGTGTTTTGGGGAGGATATCTTGGGGGCCTTTGTTCCTGGGGGGGGGGGCTGTTTTAGGGAGAGATTTGGGGGCCTATTCCCAAAGGGGTTGTTTTGTGGAGTGTGTTTTGGGGTTGTTCCTGGGGGAGCTGTTTTGGGGGAGGGTATTTTGGGGGGCTGTTCCTGGGAGGGCTGTTTTGGGGAGGGTGTTTGGGGGCTTCTTCCTAGGGGAGTTGTTTTGGGGAGAGAGATTTCAGCGGCTTTTGCTGGGGGGGGGGTGTTGTTTTGTGGAGGGTGTTTTGACATTGTTCCTTGGACGGGTGGTTTCAAGGAGGGTGTTTTGGGGGGCTGGGCCTGAGGGGGCTGTTTTCAGGGCTGCTTCAGGGAGAGTGTTTCAGGGCTTGTTCCTGGGGGGGGGGGGGGCTGCTTTAGTGAGTTTTGGGGGGACTGTTTTGGAGAGATTGGGGGGGGCTGTTCCTTGGGGGAGGGGGGCCTGTTTCAGGGAGGATGCTCCTGGGGGGCTGTTCCTGGGGAGCTGCCGGGGGCCGGCTGGAGGGGGGGCCGGCGGGGGACGCTCCCGCAGGCGGGTCCCGGGGCCGCCCGCCCCCGACGCCGGGCCGGGGAGGGGCCGCGCTCCGGGCCGGGCCCCCGGCGACTCGACGGCGCCGGAGCCTGCGGGAACCTTCGCGGGACGTGCCGCGGTACGGGCAGGGAGGGGAGCGGGGGGGGGGGGGGGGGGGGGGCGCCGGGTCCCGCAAAAACGGGGGGTGGCCGGGCCGGGATGCGGGTAACCGGAGAAGGACACGGGGACCGGGACAGGATGGAGCCCCGCGGCAGGACAGGGGGACCGGAGCAGAACCCAGGGACCAGAGAAGGACGCAGGGTTTGGGGCAGGACATGGGGACTGGATCAGAACCTAAGGACCAGGGCAGGATGGAGCCCACGGGCAAGACCTGGGGATCGGATCAGGACCCGAGGACCAGGGAAGGACAGGGGGATTGGGGCAGGATGGAGCCCCCGGGCAGGACAGAGGGACTGGAACAGGACACGGGGACCGGGACAGGATGGAGCCCCCAGAACAGGACAGGGGGACCAAAACAGGACCCAGGGACTGGGGCAGGATGAAGCCCCTGGGGTGAAGACAGGCTGAGCTGGGCAAGGTGGGGTGCAGCCTCATGGCCTCCCCCTGGCACCGCGGAGTCCTGACGTGTCTGGCCAGTTTGGGGGCTCAGCGCTCCGAGAGGGAGATGCCGGGTGCGTTCCCACGGGCAGCTTTGAGGAGGGGGTTACCAGCGGCTCTAAAACTCACCTGTTGGACCTCGCTGAGTGATTCTTGCCCAGGTGAGCGTGGCCCCGGCGGTGTGGTTTATTTTGGAAGGTGGCTGGTTTGCTCCGGATGAGCGTTTCCACCCGGGGCTGAACGCAAACGCGATGCGGTTTCAGTGATTCATTCCTACCCAGAGCCCTTCGTGCTGTAGTTTGAGGAACGCTTTAATGTGGCAAAGTCTGCACCGCCCGCTAACGGGGCATCCTCCCTGCACGTCCCGGTGTCGGTGCCAGTGTCCATGCCCCCGTGGTGGGCTGGAGTGGGGGACTAACTGGGGATACTGGTCTGGCTGAGAGGTAACTTGGTGGAAAGCTGGGGAGAGGTGGGAGTGCAGGCTGGGGAGCGGGCGGGAGGGTTTGTGTTGGATGGGAGAGCCAGGGCTGTGCCGGCGGAGCTCAGTGCATGGTGAACTGCGCCTTGACTCATTTATTCCATGGGGTGAGGAAGTCTGAAAAATAAAAACCCAAATAACTAACAGGCCAAATAAAACCCCATTGACAGCACCTTTCCTGGCAGTGGCTGTGCCCGGGGGAGCACCCAGGCTGACGGCACCGGCCAGTGAGCCCATCGTTTCCGATGCGAGCTTCCTGCCCTGGTCGCTGCCCTTTCCACTTGTCCCCTCGCTTCTGCCCCGTGTCCCCACGAGCATCCCCGGGGCTGCCAGCTGTGTCCCCCCGGCTGATGTCTTTAGCCCAGCCCGTGCTGTGTTTGGGCTTTTCCCTAAAGCTGAGCTTCCCTGGGGCTGAGATTCCCCACGCTCCCCACGCAGCCCCGAGGGGCTGGGTGCTCCATCCCCACGCACAGCCTGCAGCATCGGCGTGCTTGGCTGTCCCCTCTGCTGTCCGAGGACAAACCAGGCGAGGGCCCCGTGTTTGCCCAGGGTGGGGTTGTGGGACCTGCAGGCTTTGGCAGGTGCTTGTGGAATTTCTTGCAGAGAGGGCGAGGGCAGGAAAGTCAGCAAGGAGGAGAAACCGTGTCGGCTCTGCCACTCGCCCCGTGTCTCCCAAGGCTGAACCGTCCCCGCTGGGTGTCACTCCGGGGAGGAGGGGACCGCTGCCTGAGGTCCCCATCGCTGCGGCAGGATTTTGGGGCTCTTTGCAGCCCTCGTCCCCCGTGTCTGTGGGAGTGCCTTGGGGCTGCCGTGGGACACGCTGCCTAATTAGAAGCACATTATGGGGCAGCAATCCCTGCCCGCCCCAGGAGGGCCCAGCCTGCCATTATGGCTTGTTGTACAAAACAGCAGCCCAGCAGAAAATGATACGTTTCCCAGCTATTTTTTCTGTCCCGGGACCCGCAGGGAGGGCTGAGCTCCCCAGGGGCAGGAGCTGGGCTGAGCCTTAAGGCTGCTGCGTTTCGCGGGTGCGTTTTGGGGGGAAGCAGGGCTGGGGGACGTCTGGGGGTCACTCACCTGCCTGTCCATGCCCCTGCCAGCACTGCCTGCCTGGATGAACCCAGCAAACAGGGCACGGCAGTTCCTGTGGCACGGCGCAGGCTTTTGCTGGTAGCGTGGCTCTCCTGCAAGCCCTGTTTCCCTCTGGGGAACCTAAACCGGTAATTTTTTGTCCTAACCGCTGCTCCTGCCCTCCGGCGGGCTGCACCCCCCACCCCCACCTCCCCCCCAGGCCACATCCATCCCCCTCTGGGTGCCCAGCGTGGCCATATCAGCACCACGGGCACCCGGGGCCGGGTCCCACCGAGCCCCCTCCCAGGACTGGGAATGGTGGGGCACTGAGGACCAGCCTTGCTGCCCCGGGTGTGTCCCAGGAATGTTTTTTTTATTTTGCCTTGGGCGGCAGACGGGAGTGCACAGGGTCTGCTCTGTGCCCTGTCCTGGGCTGCACCCAAGCTGACCACAGCAGGGAGAGGCAGCCAGGCCGGGCTCGCCCTCGCACATTACGGCTGCACTTTGAAGCTGGAGACGCCGCAGCTGGTGGGGCCTCTGCAGACCTGAGGGGTCCCCACGGCTGGGTAGGTGGGCACCGAGGGGTGTCGGGGCAAGCAGGACCATCCAGGAGACCTCGGGGCTGCCAGCGTCAGCGTGGGACCCGCTCCTGTGCGGGGGCACGGTGTCCCATGGGAGAGGATGGGGAGGGACAGCGGTTATTTGGGGATGACGCTGGGTTTTCCTCTGCCAGGTCTCCTGCTCTCGTGGAAGGAGTTGGGGGTTGCAGCCGTCCAGGCAGGCTGCTTGTGCCTGTCCCCCGGGCAGAGAGCATGGCAGATGCTGAAGACACCCCCCGCGCCCTCGGCGGTGATGCCGGGGAGGTCCCGGGGGATGACGGGTACCTCCAGAACGACTCCTTCCCCCTCTCCTCGCTGGCCAACCTGTTTGAGAGCGAGGACACCCCGTCCTCCGCCGAGGCAGCCCGGGGCCCCCCTGGCGCTGGGGATGGAAAGCAAAACCTCCGTATGAAATTCCACGGGGCTTTCCGGAAAGGCGCCCCGAAGCCCATGGAGCTGTTGGAGGCCACCATCTACGAGTCGGCCGTGGTCCCCGCGCCCAAGAAAGCCCCCATGGATTCCCTCTTCGACTACGGCACCTACCGCCACCACCCCAGCGAGAACAAGCGCTGGCGCAGGAGGGTTGCAGAGTGAGTCTGGCGATGCCCGTACACCCCGGTGCCAGTGGGGAGCGATGGGGAGGGGGGGAAGCACCCTGGGTGCGCAGCGCCGTGGGTGTGGGGATACCCAGCGGCTGGGGAGAGGGACAAGGACAGACCCCCACCCCCCAGATGGCTCTCTGGGTGGGTCCTTGGGGTGCTTTGGGCAGGGGGTGCTATGTATGGGGGGGTGCCGTGCTGTGGCGTGGGTCTGCAGCCCCGCGGGGCCGGGAGCGGGGCTCCCCTTCCCCCTTTTTGGTGCGGTGAAAGAGGCTCTGTGCGCCCGGCCGCTCCCCTGGCCGGTGCGGACGTCTGGCTCCCCGGCATGAAAGGGCTTTTCAGGAGGGCCTCCACCCTCCCCGCGCCAGGAAACCGGAGCCCGGGGAGGGCGGGGGGGGACACAGCCCGCGCCCGGGCACACAATGCCCCTCTGTGCCAGGCACCTGGGGCGGCCACCGTGGCCCCCCACCACTGTCCCCAGCCTGGGGGTGCAGCCTGGCTGGGGGCACCAAGGTGTCCCCTGTGCTCCGGCGGGAGCTTGGTCCCCTGGGTGGGCAGGGATGCAGGTGGGTGGAGGGGGCTGGGGTGCCCTGTGTGCCCCCAGTCCTGGAGATCCTTGCCTGGGGCAGCCGCCTT